AAATCTCTAAAGTACAGCTCCTGATTCGTTCGATTACTTTAAAGCTAATCTCTGAACTCAAGTCACTCTACACCACTGAAATCAAGATGCTACTACTACTTTCAAGATATTACTTTCTCCGCGTACAGGCTGGGTATATATAGCTTTATTCTAACTTCGAGAACATTCCCGAGGAAAACCGCCAAGGATGCGTTCTAGAATGTTCTCGCTTCGTCGTCAATTTTGTCGCCAGATATCGCCTAATCGGTGATTTCGCGCCAGATCTCGCAACCCCGCCTTTCCTTGCCGTTTCTACCCTAACTCCGCTTTGCGGGAAAGGCAGCTGGGAATTTCGCAACAATGCAATGCATACAATTTAGCAAAATATTTGTATGATTCTTTTGCCTTTTTTTCTCTTCAAAGAACTTTAAAACTCGTCTTTGAGACATTAGCCTATATTGTGAGGTTTTCAAAATTTGCAAGTTTATTTATTTCCTTGTTTATTTTTCAGGATATCCCTTTTGATTGACGACTTGGAGCCCCTATACAGGCATAGCCAATGGGCGGATTTAATAAATGTTCTGAAAGATCTGAAGTTTAATGCAGCTGATTCAACAGCTAACATTCCAAGTACTTCTTTTTTATTATGTTTATCAAATTCCTCGCATAATTTATTGCTTAAATTAGTTTCAATTCATCATATTAAATTTTTGTAATACTATTTTTGGTTAAATGAAGCATAAATGAATGTTATGAAAATCTATGAATTTATATTTACACTTCATGTCGCTTTTGGAAACAGAATTTACTAAAATTGATGTTTAATGGCAAAAGAAAATTTTAAATACTAGATTCTAGTAACTAGAATATTTAGCAAGTGTAACATTTATACACATTTTAGTTATTTAATTACTATTAATGCTTTTGTATATTTAGTTTTATTAGTTACTTAATTTTAATATTGTCAATTATATTTGATTCTATGTTTGCAAGAATAACTGAAATACATAATAAGCTTGTTGTTCATGCAAAATGTACCTAAAATACGCATAAAAATCATTTGATTACTTGAAGCTAATTACTAGAATTAAAATTTACTTATCTATTCTGAATTTTAGAGTAGTATAATGAAAATTTAAAAAAGACCCTATACCACATGAATTTAGATAGTAAAATTTACTTATGATATGTAAGTAGATTCATAGGTTTATTGAAAATGTGATTTTTTTAAATAGCAAATACTCCGAAATTCCATTACTGCAGCTAGGTTCTAATTCTAATTGCTAAATATATTTTGTTAAAATATTACAAAAGAGTAACTGGCGAAAAGCCGCCATTATTTCATCTAAATTTCAATTAAATAAAGGTTTTTTTAAAAAATTTAGTAAAGATCTCTATATTTTAACTTGATTAGAGTCATTAATATGTGCTTGGAGAGAGATGAGATTCAGTTCTAGCTAATAATAGGGTGCATAAGTATTCGATACTAAAAACGATAATCACATATGTGAGACATTTATGAAAATAAAATATATATCGTAAAAATTAAGTTCGGAGAACGTTATGTCTGTTCCATTCCTCATCTAGAGGTTTTAAGTTTTCGAATGCATCTGCGTAAAAAATTGCATATGAAATTGTACAGAAATGGATACTTTCGCTTTAAATGTCCTTCGCTTGTGCATTTATATCCAATTTCTAGAAATGTACTCATACCTAGAAAATGATATCTAGCTTATTTTCAGAATACTATGGAGAACCTGTTTCGTATTCTGGGGAATTAGAAATTCTTAGTTACATCGGCTGAGTTGTTAGTTTCGGAAATATTCAGAAATCACAGGCAGCGAAGTCAGATGAACAGATAGGATGATCTGATTGTATTATCTCTATTCTGGGCAAAAGACATTTTTTGTAGCTTAGTCCCACTTCTGTCATAGTGATTGATTTACAATCCACTTTGGAAACTTTCTCATATTCAGTCTTTCACTTAAAATTAGCTTAATTGTTTCTGGATTAATAAGTAATATTTTAGGTATTAGTCTCACATTTAAACATTTGTCGGGCCATACTGAATCTCAAACTTTGTTAATATTAATATCCATATTTTTCAGTTCTTACTGTTCACTTCCAAGATCATGCGTTCTCTTTTTCTCACTAATTTATGAATATCTCGCCAGTGAAATACACTTTTCGTTTTCGTAGTATCTTCAGCGTATACCCCGTTTAATAGTTTCAGTTGCGTATTTTCCAATTTTTATACAAAATGTTACATTAATTTACTGCAGTAAATTTCGATCGCTCAGTTTTATGTCCAAATCCACTTTCGATAATAATAAACAAATGAACACATGTCTGCATTAGCCTGTAATCAGTGCATATATTAATTTACACATTCCTCAAAAACTTAAGTGATTTGAACGTAATTATGTTGCAAATGACATTTCATGGGCATTCAGGAAATTAAAGTATCACATTTTGATTAGAGAAGTTCAAATTTTGTTTAGTTCGCTTTAACACGAATCTTTCTACATACAAAATATGCGTACACACTATCTATGCTTGCAGCTGTAAATTAAAATTCTATTAGTCATCTTAACGCAAAGTTAATGTCTTAACTTATTCTATGTAAGAGTTCCTCTAGAAAAGATATAAAGAATTTAATCAGTTTGTAAGTGCTTCGCAAATGAGGGATTTAATATCAACAAAATCATTTAAAATATTTTTTGTAATATGTCTTTATAATGAAAGTAAATCTGTGAACCATCGCTGAAGAATGGCCTTGAGGGTAAATTTTATTTCAATTTTAATAATCTATATACTTTCGTGGTCTCGATCCTGCAGAACAATGGTGAGCAGCTGTCTTAAAGGTCATCACTGATTTAATCATCGATCTGATGCAATTTTAAATACTTTTTGTTTGTAATATACTAAAGTGATAAATTTCATGAATTATTACAGCATCATTTGAACTAATGAGCATTGTTTTTAACGCCATACCTTACGTATCTGGCCTTACTCCCCCCTCCTTAAATTCATGTTTCTTTAATCACGCTACAGGTATTTTATTCTTATAGTTATTCCACGTTTCCACAGTTCAGTTTCTCATACTAAACTATTTCTTGAAGTCTGCAATTTTTTATAGGGTTACTTCGTTTCGTAACTTTGATCTATTGGTAATATCATTATATGTGAATGCATAAATTATTTTATCCCCGATAACATATAAATGACAAAACATTCTTTAGGATTTGTAAATGCTTTTGTACATATCTTTCCTTGTTAAAAGTTACTATCAATTCTTGCGGAAATTTGATATTCATTTTATTATTATTCATTAATATTTTATTTGCATTGCATTATTCATAGGTAATAGGCGAATGGATTTGCCCGATAATATGCACACCAGGTGGAGCCAAAGTCAGGTAAGAATAAATCCTTTTTTTTTTAATTTTACGATACTGCTTCAGAATTTTAAACAGCATTTAGTTTTTTCAAGCACTGAATTTTGGTTTCCAGTGTTAATTCTCATAAGCAAAAGCAAGTGAAATTCGTTACACTTGGTCGGTGTTCAAATTACTTGCGTCATCTTTCTTTCGGTTCAAAGCATTTTTTGACAATGCCGTTTGTCGCATATTTAAATAGTATATATATATATATATATATATATATTATTTTGCACTGCAATTATATATATATAAATTGCAGTGCAAAATAAAATAAAATAAAAAGTACGTTTCAAATTCATCCCATATTCAATTCGGAATAAACCACAGGCAAAAAACAAGAGAACAAAAGCACAGTAGCAAACTTCAAGAAAAAAAGGGGGCAAAACATGTCAAAACAGAAATGAAAATGAAATTTACATCTTTCGCTGTATTATTATTATCAAAAGATTAGTGCAACGAAAGAAGTAAATCAATAAGTCCTCCTCTGAACCGACAATGACTCAAAGTTAAAATTTTGAAATAATCTTAGAAAAACAGTCAAAACAATCCTTGTCTTTAGCACCCATCCCCTACAGGACAAAGTAAACAGTGCCATAAGTGCAAAATTATAGTTTCAAAAAAAATTAAAAAAAAATAAATAAATAAAGCTATATGTGCACACACACACACATATATATTGTATTGCACATTAAATTGTGTGTGCATATATCTCTGCCCATATAATTTAATAAATAAAAATACATAACTATATTTAAGTAAAATATAGTCTAATGAATGATATTATAAAAGACTGATTTTTTAGCATTAAATATTTTTCTTGTATAAAATTCCAAATATGAATAATAAGTAGAAGAATATTTTTTTTATTCTTCAAAATAAAAATTAGAATTACATACGCGTACAATCACAAAATTATAAAGACAATAAAGTGAAATATTGTTAGGTTTACAGTAGTATACGTAATAAGTGGAACGAATGAGCTTCGTGGAAAATTAACAGCCTATCAATATTTCTCATAGATCCTCATGTCCAATAATTTGCAGGCGATACCTTTGTTTTGCCAAAAGCGGACACACAATATTAAAATCCTCATTCGTCTAAATATGAGGTTAAAAATGGTATTGTGGGGGAAGGATAAGAAAAATCACCGCCAATCTGTACTTAATTTTATTCAAGTTATCTGTTAAATTATGTCTAATTGCATTATTGCATATTTATTAAATTAGTACAAGTTTTATTTCCTGTTTTAAACTGTGGTAGCGTTCAAGCGCTAAACGCTAATAGTTATCTGGGTTCAAATCTTAGCACATGGGCTGGATACACGGGTGTTTTCGTGTTTCATGTATGTATAATGTTCAGTATCTCTTAAAAAATCCTCCACGAAGTCGTCCCTTCCCCTTAAATAGATAGCTCTCGTGTGGCTTGCAGTAATTCAAATTAATAATAATACCTTTCATGAAACCTAAAACACCCTGCCGTCTCCGAATGGAAGTACATTTCCCACTCTAAACAGCACCATATGCATCATGCCTATTGCATTATATTTTTACATTTTATTTAATTTACGCATAGAGCCTATGTGACTCTTCCCATATACTGAAAGTAATAGAAAATGAAATTAATATTAAAAATTATTGGTTCACTGATTGTCAAACGAATAAGACAGTTTGCCCAGAGTTCGAACACTGCCGAAAGTTTCTTCAGCCGATGGGCAGAATTCCATTGTAGGGCGTTTATAAATTCCAGTACCAATGCAGATTACTTGACTACACTTTTGAAACTCTCTCACTGCAAACTAGAGCAAATTGTATCCGCCTAACATTGTATGCAAGGAAAAAAAATAACTGACGATAAGAGATTTTTTTATAGACTAAATTAAGATTAATACTTGAAGTTTACATTTTATTTGACGCATTTTAATTTTATTCATTGTGTTAGAAGTTGAAATTATATTCAAAATTTTAAATTAACTTTAACTGCTTGCAGTAAATATGAAATCACTACAAATGAAGTTACTGCTAGATTGGCCGCAAAGTTATCTGGAACAACTTCAGCATTGAATAACAATCATTCTGGAAAGCAACACATTAGTATTTAATTGTAAATGGTTTATCTTTATCGTAGCCCCAAATATAACTGTTTAAGACCTAAGAACGTGATCACGTTGCACCATCGAAAATTTATCATTTCAAATGCTGATATATATCACAATATTATCGCACTCTTGGGCATCATTGACACTCGTTCAACCATTATACGTTGTTCCGAGTCATTTGCTGTTCCCTTCCAAAGTAGTATATATGCTTTTAAATTAACCATTATTTTTATATCAGTCCAGAAAATTTCGTTAACGTGACTAATTAATCCATGAAATCACGCGTTTCAAGGAGTCCCGTTACGCTGTAGGCATAATTACAATTGTTCTATCATTCAAAATTTGGGGGGGGGAGAGTTTGTTTATTCCATTTAATTTAACTTTTTTTTTCGCACAGCAACGTAAATCGAATAAAATAAATAAAATTTAATAAAGTGTTTGAATAGTATTTGTCATTTGTTTCATCATGTCGTGCTGTGATGAAAAAAGAGTCGAATATTTGGCAGTCACTCTCGGCCGACTCCGAAGGTTCGTTCTATATCAGGTTCAACATCAAATAAAATTTCTTTAGCGTATAGTGAGGTCTGTAAATTATTCAAATTATTCTGAAACCTGTCTTTGATTTACAGATTCAAACTATATTAGACTTACATATTTCAAACTATATCACAGTTTTTAGGTAGGAGTAATTTTTTACCTCTCACTTGACAGCAAGATATACCGCGGTTTGTAACATGTTGTCTTATTCGATTGATTATGACGCACATTGATTACCATATATTGAATTTGCATTAAGCGTTTTGTTTTCAAAAATTATATGTGACTTTTTATTAAGGCTGAATAAGGAGCACACAAGAAGGAAGGTTTTTGATATTGGAACATTGGAATAAAAGATATGCCCTAGTACACAATGGCTTTAACAGTTACTTAATATGTTATGAATTCATATGTTATTAAAAAAATAACAACAACAGTTACTTTTCTTTCATTATTCTTTTTTTCATACGAATTCACTTAGCCTTTCCAGAGTAGAAAATTCTTTAATGGTGTTATAACTCAGTTATACTTATAATATTATTTTCTACTCCATTATTATTCAAATAAAGGGAAAATACAATTTATCATAAGAATGAAAATATATGTACCTTTTTTTTGTCATCCTTGGTTGAGTTGTACTAGATTCGTTAATATGCAAAGCAAGTCAGAGCCATCTTCCCTACAACAAGCGATATCTTCATTAAAAACTCATTAAAAAACTCACTTTTATACAGAAAAAAATCCAAAAGTTCCATGCGAAGGAGGTGTTTATAAAAAAAGTGTCTGTTCTTTAGTGGGAACAGATCCAAATCTGTCATTCAATCACATACCCTATCACCAATAAACTGATCGCCTTTCTTATCCATAAATCTCTACAACGTGATTAAGAAAGTTATTACTGATTATTTTAAATTTTAAATTTTGAATTTTTCCGACACCCATTCAAGAACTTTCAGCGAACCAAAAGACAAATAAATAAGACGAATGAACTTTGGTAGTTTGACCCAGTTTCGTGTATTGCTGCGTTAATACAAGATAGAATGATACACACTAGTAAATCACAAAAAATATCATTTAATGGTATTTTAAGGAAAAAATAGAGCTCAAATAATTCTAATTTATTTATTACCGACTCCTAAAAAAAGTCGATAATGACGTAAAATATCCAAAATTTTGAAATTATATATTTCGGTCAAATTTTGTTGTACAGGAGTGAAATATTTTGCTCTTTTTTATTTTTATAAAAAGTGTAAAATTTTCTTAAATATAAGAATAGGGACTAAGAGACAGTGCAAAAGGTCAGATTTTGAAATTTTTAAAAAATTTATATATTTTTAGAAATGTAAAAACACGAATATTTGCATAATCTAAAATCTTTTGTAAACACTATACATGTGTACTTAGATTAGGTAGGAAGAAAATATTATTTTTGTTCTATAACTATACCCCGGAAAAGTTGCCTATGTATGAAAAAAGAAAAAGGGTTTTCATATAAAAATATATCTTACGTTCACGCATCGCCCTCAGAAGAAATTTGGGTTTTTTTTGTCAATATATATATATATATGTTTCATTTAAGCAACAAACCGTGAATATATTTATCATTTTAAAGTTTTTATTCGAAAGAGTGTACCTTAATTAAGTTAATGTTTTGGTAAATTCTGGCATAACGCATCTTCATAGCAGATTCAGCCTAATCAAGCCGTCTATTGTGTCAGCGCCACGCACATTTTTAAACGTTTCAATCACAGGTTTGACACACAGTTCTACAGCCTGGATGTGACCAGCGAAGCTTTGGAAATTCAGTTGCAGCGATGTGCCAGCCTTTAATAAATTTTTGATATCCTCATCTGTAATGTTTCCTTAAGAATGGAGAAGGAGAGATATTGGAACTACCACACTAAATGATGTTGGACGTAGTCTAATGCGTCAAAGTTGAGTTTTGGCACGGTGAAGTTCTGAACAGTTTTCTTTGGAAAATGATCGAGCTTTCAACAATATATGCAGCCCTAGTAGTTCTCCGATGTGTCTTTCTTTCATCTACATCATTGCAAGGATCAAGGTTTCGAGATGAACAAAGAAAGCATCCACTGAATTACTGGGCTAATGACTTGCAGTAAATTTTGAGTTAGGTATTGTATATCATCATGTTCTGATGGTATAAAATACTGCCTTGGATTGTCTGTGAAACTTTTAATGGATTTGATTTGGAACCATAAATACATGCAACAGTTCAAAATAAGATGCATCAATTGCCTAATTTCATCAGTAGGTTTTTCTAAGCACACGTATAATCTGAAAATACAATTTGTTATCGTGCGAGCCAACTTCAGTGTGAAATGGTCCAGGACCAAGTGCTGCCAGATCTAAAACTGAACCTGATGGCAGCATGAATATCAAAAATGGTAGCAAAAATATCAAGGAAGTACAATTTATCCTTGCCGAGCACTCTTCTGTCAACTTGAGGAATAGAGCTTTCAACACGTTCAAAGCGAATCAGTGGATGATTTTCACAGTCAGCGAGGTTTTCCGGGCTGGTCCATTGAAGAATTTAGGCCTTGAGGTAACACTATCTATTGTGTCATCTTTTCTTCCATAAAAGTATAGACAATGTAATGTTTCTTTAATAGCCTGATTCTACAAATCGTTTCTGTTACGAGTTTTCCTCTTGTCATTTTATCTTTGTCAATGACGTGAGAACTGTGTGAATCAGTTATCACAGCACACTTAAAGAACAAATTTAGTCACAGTTTAAAATATTTTGTAAAAAAAAAAAAAAAAAAAAAAAAAAAAAAAAAACTACGAAATATTATTAGTTTTACAAAAAATTGCGTTGCTGAACTTTTTGCGTAAACAATAAACAATTTGAAGTTACAAGTTTTATGTTTTGCGTGTATGTATGTGTTCCTCAAATGCTAAACTTCACATTACGACCTACAGCATTTCGGTAGTAGTGAGTTTAGTAACTATAAACAATTGACACAAAACATCAAAATTTCACCATTTTTCCAAACTTTTGAGTGTGATGCACGAAGGAAAATGTAATTTTATTTATTTATCTGATTTTACTTGGATAGGCGGTAGGCAGCTTTTCCTGGGTACAGCAATAGAAAAAAAAGTGTTTTTCAGTCCACTCTAAGATACGTACATAAATACGTATACATGTATATATTATATTATATTATATTTTCATGAACAATCATTATTTTATCAAATCAATCATTTTTTCTTTTCAGAATGTAAACAAAATTACAGCTGCCAAGAATTCTAACCAGAATTCTTCAAATATACTGTAAGTATAATAGTCTGAATTTCAGCAAAGGAAGTAATTTTAAGTCAATAATTTGAGTAGATTTAGGTAAATAATATTGAGTAAAGTAAATAATTTTGAGATAACCAGAAACTGTAATAATAGATGTATTTACATTATATTTCCGGAAATAATAAAAAAGATTGCTAATTACTATCTCTTGTGATCGTTCAAAAGAGCCCTTGTTTTTACATAAATGAGAATTTAACAGATGTGCCATGTTTGCGCATAATTAAATTATTCATTTGCTATCGAGACAGAATGGGGCTGAATATGTACTTAATTATTTAAAAAAAGTATGATATTTTTCATTTGTTATTGTTAGGAACACTCTATGAATTGTAAATAATTGACAAGCCTTTCCACTTTAAGAGTACTTTTAATAATTTGTTTTAATGAGAATTATATGAACTCTAAAATAGACTGAAAACGCTTGTGATTTAAAAGGATTTTCAGAAATTTAAGTAAATTCATCATTCGTTTTTCTTTCTTCATAAAGAAGTAAAAGGAAGAATATACGTACGTTTTCTGAAAATAATAATAATCATTATATAATTCATATCCATTTCCATTTATGCAGCATTTTTTGTTTCATTTGCTTCTCATCATAATTCTAACAATAACAGGAGGACAGAATTATTTCAGTGATCTTTTTTATAACAGATGTAGTTTAGATATTTTAATTAATTGATTCACCAGACATAAAATGTGCATAATATTTAATTAAATATGAAAACAATTATGATCATAATTTTCTGTCTAAAACTATATACAATGGGAACGAAATTATCCCTCACAATTTACTGAGTACAAATAAAACAGTATGTTGTTGGGGTTCAGTTTTATTTTAGCAACTGAAAATTCTCGCTTTCTTCAGTTGCAAATAAATGAAAGACGAGTGCTAAAAAAAGTTTACGTTATCTTTCAGCCACTGAAAGAATCCAGTGGGCAGAATGAATTAAGCAAAATGCAAATTAAAAAATAAATAACTAAAACAAAATCCAAATAAAAATTATAACCCTAATTAAAACTTTTTGGTTTTAAAAAATACCATACTATAGAATAAAATATGATTGGTTTGTTACTATATTTACAATAAAAAGTTAAAATACTATTTCAAGGCATACAGCATAATACAAATATTTAGAACTAGACAAAAAATATTTCCATTAAAATTTACTGCCCAAGTTCAATAATGACAGAATTTCATGTTAATTTTGAATACTTATCTTGGTAGCATTTTAAATTTCCTGTCTTAGTACATAGAACTTTAGCAGAAAGTTATATCCATGTAAGACAATAATAATTTTCTTGGTAGCTTTTTTAATTTCCTGTACTATTAGGTAGAACTTTAGCAGAAAGTTATATCCATGTAAGACAATAAAAAATCAAACAGTCTCTCCATGCAAGAAAATAGAAATTAAGGAAAATCGATGCCAGTAGTTCATGTTAAAAATGCTTTCATATTTATCGTATTGCAGTTAGATACTGCTGAGAATTTATTTACATTAATTTTGTAATGCGAGTAATAATAAGCAAGCTGAGTAACTTCAGTACGACCAGTTTTCAGTTTTAATCATCATTATTATCTGTGCTATATACTAAGCTAATAAAGAATCTATGTTAATCGCGCTGCCCGTATCTGAAGGGGGCTGTGGTGTGAGGAATTTTTAAAATTCGTCTGTTATCTTGTCTGTCCCGATCAGAATTCAAGGATGATGATAACAACAAAGCAATCACTATATGGAAACCACATTTTCTGTCCGTACTGGGACTCCTTATCCAATTTCTTTTCTTTTTAATTCCTAGGAGTGTTTTTGAAGTTCGTTCACTCTTAACTATGTTAACTTTCTATTTCGATGATGGGGAGGTTATTGTAAGTTTACGATAAAGGTGCACGTGAGGAGGGGGAAAACGCTTTGGTCCTTAGTTGGTTAATGATGCAAAATCGAGATTATAGTGTAATAATATTCAGTATAAAATATTTTTTGCTTTTCTTTTACATGATTTACAATATTGAGTCATAATATTTTGTTCAGGGATACAGTACTGGAAGTGGCCGAGACGGGAGTGGACGTCGTTCGATTGATGCCACATCAGAAGGTTCAACATATTCAGAGCGCTCTCGAATATTTCACGGTTCTTGTCGAAATAGTCGATGGTGAGTACTGCATTATTATTTAAAAATATAACCAGCTAAGCATAGGTTAAAAAATGCATTTAATACTGCAACTCGGAGGGGGGATATCCAATATAAATTTAAGTACTGACCAATCATGAGAAACTCTCAAATCGATCAAGATAAGAGGGATTGTTTACGCTTTTATGTTGGAAACATCTTAAATGGGACTTTTCAAAGTTTCAGAACCTTACGTTACCACTCATATATCACCCATTTACATTAACAATTTTTGTCTTTATTGTGCACCAAGTATTGTGCGCATTCGGTCATCAGTGATCGATCGAATTTAGATTTAATACTTATAGATCACTCACATTGAAAACATTGAACAGTTTTCGTATTGTCCTCTCTCTTATTGTGAAGAGCTTGTTTAGGATCAAATAATTTTATTTTATTAATTGTTGATATTAAGCATATAAATGTATCTGAAATGATATCATTTTGATAGATTATTTAAATAAAATTAAATCAAAGCTGATGGAAAAGATCCTTGGTTACCTTTATGAGATGGTGTAGTAAAGTTCAATAAATATCCACAATTAAATTCAATAGAGAACACCTTTGCCTTGTGAGTTCATAGTCAACAGCGCGGTGGCATTGTAGAATTTTGTATTCTAGTAAAATTTTCCGACACATACGGTTGATAAAGGAAAGTATAATATACTGTATTGTAATGTAATGCCTTAAAACAATTCGAAAGAATCTACTGTGGATGTTTCTAGAGTATCAAGCATATTTTACGCTGCGCAAGCGGCAATACTGGCTGCAAAGTTAAAAGTTAAGTAACATTTATGTAAAAATTTCACATGTATACAATTCTTATCTTACAGAATTGACCAGATCACTGGAAATCGAAACCTCATCAAATTTCATTGACCATCTAAGCGATGTTTTAGGAGCCGTACTTCTCAATGTGGCTCAAGAAGCAACACCGGTAAGTAACTCTATAAATCGAATGCTTCGAAATTCTATGACCAAATCAAAATATCAACATGATCAGACTAAAATTTATAATAATTTAATTCATGAATCTGATGAATGGTTCATTGAATTGGTTATTAAACCTGACGAATGATCATTCAGGTTTAATAATACAAATATAAATATTTTGTTTAGCTCATTGAAATAACGTAGAAATAATTTACTAATACTTTCTTCTTATGGATACTGACCATTTTAAAAAATCAGCAACTAAAGGTAAAAATTTTGCGAATCTATTTTTTATCAGAAAAGCAATTCTTTCTTATCTACGGAGACAAACAAATGTACTATTGTTGCGCGTGCGCGCGTTCGTAATAGACTGAATGCATACAGAATTGATTAAAGCTTCCTAAACTTTATTTTGTCAAAAGTAACATTTCACAGTTCTGGAATTTTTCCACAAAAGTACTCGTACAACTTTTCACAAAATATAATCAAAAACTACTCTTGAAATTGTTAAGAAGGTTAAATACAATCTCAATGCAAAGCGCATTTAAAGAACAAAGCTAATACGGATATTTCAGTACACTGAACTCAATTCTGAAATACAAACTACTACTCTAATGCTCTGCATGGTCTTATATAGATTTTCCCCCGGCCGCCGGGAAATCTCTAGTACTTCTTAAAATTACTGGAAAGAATATGAGGGTCGGATACGGTTACAGTTACGCAGAGCATCGATTACTATTTCTCAATTGCAATACCAATCGCAGTTATAGAGGAACCGGACCAAAATGTCACCAAATGTTCGCCAAGTTTAGTGATTTTGGCGATTTCTCGACAAATGTGGCGACAACAGTCCCAGAAACTGTTCCCAGCTTTGGGATATCTCGCCGATTTAACGAGATAGACCTTTACTCAATGCTAAATAGACTTGCCCTTGTATTCTTGCTTTTTCGGCAAAACATCGTCTATTTAGATTTTCATGGTGCATTATACAAAAAAATAACTAAAATTTCACATGTAATTTCACTAAAATTATCTACGTGTGTACAAAGTTCATACCAGTATTGCTGCAAGTCGGGAATAAAACTGAAAAGCTTCCTTTAATACTTTTTTGAGAATAAAAAAAGTATTCGAAATAACTTTAAAAGCTATTTTCTCCGTCCTTTCTGCATATCTTCGTGGTGTAACGGTAGCCCACTCATTCGAGAGGTCCAGGTTCGAGTCCCGACGAGGGCATTACACATTTTTCACGTTTCCTGCATCAAAATAATCTAATGTCTCTATAACTTGTAACTATTAATTCCAAGTACAGCTAGCAAATAGTATCCTGTCATAAAAATGTACTTTAATTTGTTTACTTGTAACAATTTCGTTTTCACTGCGAAAAAACACCGCAATTATTAATTTAGTAACACCGCATTTAGTTATGAATAATCATAATAATTTTGCTGTTTACACGACGCTTATGCAGAACTAGATTTAGACTTGATAAGGTTGCTATACCTAAGCTGTTTGAGATATGGGGCCCTTTATAAATCTGTTGTACTATACCTATACTATGTTTTAATATTTTTGTGGGGCCCCCAAGAAAGTGGGGGCCCTAATCTATAGCTTGTGTAGCTTACACATAAATCTTGCACTGTGCTTATGCTTAACCTTTTCCAATTGTTCCGTCAACATATCATCGTTTAATAAAATGTTCTCCCAGGTGAAAAAAGCCTGAAAATTCATTACCAAAATTGATTCATTTGCCTTCTTGTCGAAGAATTACCTAAAATATTTCTGTTTAGATTATCAAATATGAATGTGTTATATATTTGATAGAATATTCCCACGGTTTCTGCATCAGTTTCCAGATTCCTAAAGATTAAATGTACCACAGACAGCAACTAAAAATCTCGCAAGATGTCTTGGACTTGTTAAGAAGCTCGATATTTGGGTTCCGCAGGAATTGAAAGAAATTCACTTAACGAATTTTAAAATGCGATAAAATTGTTTTATGTTAATGTGAAGTTCTCTGAACACAACAGAGTATTTATATTACGCATTTCAAACGTGGCGCAATCGACCCTTTTTCTGAAACGAATTATAGCACAAATCATATCGAAAGCCAAATTGCGTCAGAAAAAGATCATGCCGTCAGTTTGGTGGGATTAGAAATGTGTTGTGTATTTTGAGCTGCTCCAAAGCAACTAAGTGGCCAACTAACTCAGGTGTTTGCTGCCAATAACTTATGCAATTGCAGGAAACAAAGGGAAAAGGCTTCAATTGGCAAATCGCAAAGGAATCGCGTTCCACCTCGGTAATGCGAGGCCTCACACATTTTCAACCATATGTACGAAATTATTGGACCTTAGTTGGGAAATGATGTCATTCCGCATAAAGGCCACGACTTACCACCATCGAAATCCATTTATTTTCAGTTTATATAATTTCTGAAATGGTAGAAATTTAAGTAATAACGATGACCTCAAATCGCACTTCACTGAGTTTTTTTGCTGATGAAGATTAGAATTTCTATGAGCGCGGAATCATGAAGGATTCATGAAAAATTAGCAGCGTCTTTGCCAGAAATCGAACCGCGGACCTCTGAAATAAGCGCCCAGCGTGCAGACCACCACACCACGAAGGCATACTAAGAAGGCGGAGAAATACCTTATAAAGTTATCAGAAGAATGAAAAATGGTCATCGAACAGACTGGAAGGACTCATTAAAGTTAATTTTTTTGTGGAAAAAATTGAGTTTTATTTCAGACTAAAAAGCTAAAATTATTTTCTTTCCAGCCGTTTATTTTATATTTCCTATGAAAAGGAATTTTAGTGGTTTTCTTCATGTGTAACATGGATACGAGTCAGTTCCGTGAAAACGTCCTCCACAAAGACATCCATACCGTTAAGCAGACGGCTCGCGAGTACTTATCTAAGCAATCCTAATTGTTACAAGAATCGGTAATTTGGAGACGTGGAAAATAACATTTTAAAATCTTAGTAGACAGTTAAGCAGCGCTGCAACGAAAATTTTTGATATATTTCAATAATTTTTCTTTACTTAGTTACAGCAGTTTGTAGCTAATTTTTTATCACTAGAAGAGCAGATTCATGCAGCTTGTTTTCGAAAGATATTGAGAATTCAACGCTGATAATCCTTCCTTGTTAGTAAACGCCCTACCATGACGTAGAAGTGGAATATGTACACTTTTCCTTGACTCAAAAGCTACTTATAAATGACGGAAGGTAGAATTGCAGAACAACTAGCAATACATTTTTTCTACTTTTAGTCATTACGTAATTCATACCAAAAATTGTGAGAATGAGTCCCAAAGGGCAATTTGGACAATTTCGTCTTGACATTTTGCGTTGGTTCACTATAAATGTCGGTTCACTTTTCAAATTGTTGCCGCCAAATATTAGGCCCCTGTGTAATATTTAAAGAAATTAAATAATGAAGAAACTGCATAAATGTATGTATGTTTATCGCATTGTGATAAAGCAACGGTACCTAGAGCCGTCAAATTATGAATAACGTAATCTTCCACGGAATACGGTCCTCTGGAAGCCCGAATTTGAAATTTGAAATTTATTTTATTATCGATTTCATATTTTGTAAAAATTTAAGGAATTTTTGATTAACAAGCTCAACAATTTAAAAGCGAGCAATGGAACACTGCACGGAAAAGAAATTCTCTCCAGCGCGCGAGACTGGGTATCGGAAATTCTAAGATATGCTCATTTTAAAATTATTTTGCGATATTGCTGTTGAACTGAAATTTATGGTATGAGTACGTAAAACATTATATTTAATAAATAAAGATAGCACAAAAACGTTAAAAAACGCCTCTTCGGGCGTAATATAAAATCTGAAAGCTTTCAAATTAATTAAAAAAAAATATTTGCATATTTTTTGCATATTCACTTTATTGTACAATAAAGTATTTATTATACAATATTGTACTTTATTGTACAATAAGTGTATAGCTGTGTTCAAATACTATGTTAAGTACAGGAGAAATAAAAAATCAGTTAAATTTAAAGAGGCCCACCAGCGGCCGAGCGGTAAAGTCGCTGAGAACTGGCAGTTCGGTCCGAGGTTCGAATCCCACGAACGGTCTGGCTGCATGAGCGTTTTCGTGGTTTTCCTTGAGCCAATTTCCCTTCGAAAATCCTCCACGAAGGCATCCCTTCCCTTAGGCAGATAGCCCTAGTGTGCTTAGCCGTAATTAAATAAACCAAACCAAACTAAATGTAAAGAAGTGTATGAGTGAATTTGTAGAGGGTAATAAAGTGAAGTAATATATGCAAATTATGGCATATATTACTTTAATTATTGCAAATTATTACATCTGCTAGACAAAATGTTTTGCCTCGAGATATATGGTTCTGCTTTTAAATTCTCACTCCCAAAAGTCAATATTATGTCGAAAGAGTATTACGCTCAATCTGAAAAAAAAAAAAAAAAAAAAAAAAAAAAAACAAGCAATGAATTCTGTAATATTCATGCAGGATGCTGCATCATCCGATACCTCTTCTATCTTATTTTCACATTTCTAGTAAAATGCAGTTACAGCGATCAATTTCAGTGCGAAAGGTCTCTAATTACTAGATTTCAAACCTCGTGGTTTTTGAGATTAGAAATATCATTAGTTCTGAAAGAGATTTTCGTTCCGTCGTATTACGTTACGCTACCATGTATTTATCATTCACGTGCTACTGCATGAAACATTGCATTGCCCAGACTATTGATTTGTCACACACCGGTGACCAATGGAATCAGCAATCACCTGTTTCCTTCGGTTTGAGTTTTACAAATGTCATTAAAAGCGTTCCAAAAGGTGCGGAGATGGTTACTGCTGTTTAATGCTTAATGGTGATTAATATGCTGTGATGCTTCTTTCATCCATGCGACTTTACACTGAGTGTTGGCGTTGAAAAAAAAACTTAAGAACGGGCATTTATCATTTTGCATGCGGCCTGGCAAATATTTCGATTCCAGAGCATTGCCACTCGACGTGATGTAATAACTTTAAATGACGACGTGATGCAATAACTTAAACTTTTGTTTCAGATAATATTTCTGTTAATTAACGAACTGACTGAATGAATAAATGTATTTCTTATTAAAGTAACATAATTTTAAAATAACATAATTCTTTCTTATATTTAATAATATATTTAACAGTAACACAATAAAAAATGCTTATTATTTCCAATGGAACGTATCCAATCGATAATTTTCAAGAGCGTTTGCCATATTATTGGAATTTATAAAAATGTTTCTCACATCATACTACTATACCTTAATACAGATTTTTTAGTTTCTCAAACGTTAGCCTTTTCGATGATCTTATATATTTATCGCGTTTTGTTTGTCGAATTTATTAATTACATTATATTTTTTAAACACTTATTTAAATAATAAAAATTTTAAAATGATTTAAATAACACGAAATGGTCTGAAGTCTTTTGTTATCGTACTTTTTAAATTTTTAACGTGTCCTTTTTGTTTGTGCATCCCAGACTGGCAAAAATGTGAATCGGCAACCAAGTGGTCGAAGACTGTGCGATCCTGAATATTTTTTGAAGAATATCAGCACTGCCGACTGGAAAAATACTAAAGCTTTGCAAAATTACGCCTGCAGGATTTCAAAGGTGATGGCTCAGGTATGGCATTACCATTTTTGTGTAATACAGCAAGGATTCTCAACCCTTTTTTTGTATCGACCCCCTTTAAAAGAATACTTTTCTTCATTGAAACCCTTACCTTTTTCTTCATAATATACTGCATACCTTGTAATCATAATACAAATATTTTCACACAAATAATGTTAAGCTAAAAATAATAAGAATATAAATAAAAGTTTTGAAAAATAAATTTTTATTAGATTTCTATTTTATTATTTTTTGTATTATTATGATTAATAATTTTCGAATCTAAAATAGTTTTCAAAAACTAAATCGCAGATTCTAATTGCACAAATATTCGATTTAAATTAATGCGTTGTCTGCGTTTTATGTATGGCTGTAATTTTTTAAAAAAATATTTGAGGCAAAAATGCTTAATTTAATTTTTAAATCACATTGTTATAAAATATTCAACTTTTTTATTTAATTAATTTAATTTATTTATTAATAGAAATTATTCGCTTCATAAAAGCCTGCTTTCGCTAGATAAGAAGACGGAGATAGCAATCATGTTGGTTTGATAAAAAATTTTATTTTGGGATGTTTCTCGCAGATGACTTTCAGAATCGGAAAACTTAGCGTACTCATGTGTTTTAATTTTAAGTAAGACTCATACTTGAGCATTTAATTACACATTAATCTTCTTCTTTACTATGCAATCAACTCTTCTTGCATAGTAATAATGAAGGTCAGATATATCGTAGTTCAGCGGTTGTATAAGATGCTGACACATTCAAATTTTCGATGTTTGGAAGAGAATATTAAAATTTTCTTTTAAATTTTACAAGTGACTTGTATATAACAATATATCTTCTGAGGAAATACAATCCTTTTTAATAACGAACGGTATTATTAAATTACCAAATTCTTTTCCATTCAGTGTCGATATAAATAAATTAATTTTAGAATGAAAACCGAAGATAGCCGCCCAACCAGGATAGGGGTCAGCGACGGTGATTGTGGTACCAAAAAGGTCCGGGTTCGAATCCCGGATAAGCATGGATGTTTTTAAATGCATAGTGTTTCTGCGAGCAGTCTAAATATGCGGTGAGCAGAACGTCCTCTCGAGAGTTTGTGGTCGAGAAAGAGGGGGGAGAGACCTTGGACCTTCCACTCGGTATGACCTTTCTCAAAGCTGGGAGCGTAACTTTAAGCGGTAAGTCGGGAACCTTCTGTCAGACAAGGGAGACTGGTAACAACAACAACAATAAATCGAAGATAAGCATCAACCGTTCTAACTTCAGTGAGATTGACGTCTGTTCCTTGCAGTTTTTTCTGTTGCGGCATTGAACAATAAATAGATATCAGTTTTTATATCAATAACTTTTCCCCTCCTTACTGCGTAACTTCGTAGTGTAACTCGAAGCATGTCAGGCTGGCACGAATCTTGGGGAGGGCACAGCAGATTTTACATATTTCCTGCTCCAAAATAAACCAATCAGTTAATGGCGTCCATGGACGATAATTCTTCACCGCGTGGGCTTGATGACTGGGTTCCCTCCTCCCCAGTTGCTCTTTAAGTGGAGGTACATAATATAAGGTAATTTCTCTCTCCTCACAGCCTGCCTTCGTAGTGTAATCGAAAGAACGTCTGGCTGACAATCAAAAGCTTAGGAATTTGAATCCGGTGACAGAACTGCTCATTTTTCATGCGTCTTTCTCCAAACAAACCTAATCATTCTACAAAATGCTATAAAGAGAAATCTATCATAATAATCACAGAGTATTCTACTATTTGAAACCAAAAATGTAAAATAAAATTTCCTACTAACCAATGGAATTTATTTTGGAAGCAAACGATAGTTATACACAAGAGAAATAGATTTCGAAATTTTACTATCAGAAAAATTGAAAGAGTTAAAAAATCCATTTTATTTATGATACTGAGGATATAAAATAACAGTTGTTGCAAAATGTTGTTAAAGAACACGACTTTTTAAGTAATCAGTTTTGCAATCATGATAAGGCAAGCACTTTTATAATATAGAAAATAAATGAAAAATTTATGCATTGTCTGGCTCTTTCTAAATGTACTGGACTTTTTTGCTAATTGAAAATAATAACAAGTCTTTGAGGTGTTAAAAGGCCATACAGTCAAATGTATCACCATGCAGTCAAGGGCTATGGCCTCAAAACTGGTTTCTTTTTCTTATCTTCTGATGAAAACTCTAGCGTTAATAATAAAAAGTTTTATTATTTATCTTCTTGTTAGCATCTCTAAGGTACAGATGATTATATCATTTGTTACTGTTACTCATTATGATTTATTATGTTTTTAAAGAATCGAAAACTCATTTGTTATTCTTTCAAGAAGGAAAGAACTCCTTTCAACTTTCTATGTCACTTCTTTGCCTTCGGCACTGCGGGAAAATGATCCACAAAACCAGTCTGTAAATCTCGCTTTTTAAAAGTAAGAGAAGATGCTATTAATAGAACGAATGATAACAGACCTCATGAAATGTGAACTCGTTTCATGTCAGATCTCGTTAGATTCGAGGTTTATATTGAAAATAAAATCGTGCTGAGATAATATTAAGAATATCTTTAGTTTGCTTCGACGAATACGTAAAGATGACGCTGAAATAAAAGCAAAAAATGGCGAATACGAGTACAAAATTTAATATTTAGTAAATAAAAAGAAAGTATTTTATTAATGGACCACTGAAAGCAGCATTTTCCCCTAATAAATAATAATCTTTGTTTACATTAGTTGCACGTATGCCTATGTGTGCTTCAAGCACAATTTGGCGGAAATCTTTCTAACTGGAAATTATTTTGCTTCCTTCAAATTCAGCTCATTGAAATTCAATAATATCTAGTGAAGGCATTTTCTTTCTTTACACAAAATATGTTATTAAGCAACCAACACAATATCTTTTTTTTTTTTTTTTTTTTGAAGAAGGACTTTTTATTGTTTACTTGGAATCCAAATTTTTTATTTCCAAAGTATTGTTTACCTGGAATTAATACCTTAAACATCAGGTGCAACTGATAAATGAGGTCTATCTTAATCTTACATCACTTAAGACGTTTCTCTATTTTCAGATGGCAGATATATATTTAGACCCTTTATATAATTTTTTTTAAGCGTAAAGAATTTTGAACATGAATGCAAAATATGTGCAAATTTAAGCGTTGAAAGTGCACATTTGTCATTTTTTAGTACTTGTTTTTCAGACTGGATAACTCGAAAAATTCTTGCAGCTATTAACTGCTTTATATTCTATATTAAAGAAATATCATGTAAATATTTTCTGAGACTTGTTTGGCTGCGTTAAAATGTTTTTCGTTGTACAACGCTACATGCTGCTATTAATCGACGGTGCTTAAGGATCATAATTTATCTTCGGTATTTTAAAAGTTCATTGCTGACTACAGTATAAAGGAATTATCGAAAAAATTCATTTTATCAGAAGCGCTTAATAATATTTTATTGTAAGTATTATTTTATATAATTAGCGTTGTAAATAAAATAGGTTTCTAGCATCTATAAAAGATCGATTTACAAAAACTTCTAACTCCGCTTCTTGTTTACACTTTTATCAACATCTAAAAATAGAATTTACCGATTATAAATGTTTTCGGTAACAAATAATTTGCAAGCTTTCCTCTCTTTCTATATATATATATATATGTAATAGAAATACACTTTTCTAATGTTTTGATATTTACAAATTTATAACATTTTAACTTAAAAAACGAAATTCTGAACAAATACTGGAGTTTTTAAAACTAGGATTCTTCTCTTCTATTTTTATAAAGCGGTAAAAATTTGGCTTTGTCATTTGGCAACAGCAAAGATTATTTAATCTTTTATTTTGCTCTTCTAATGTCCTCATTCATTTTCACTGTTCAAAGTAAAATTCTCTTTCTAGACAAGGACTTTCAACTTTTCCAATATATGGGTAACTTGAATTTTCTTGCTTAAATTAAAATAATATCATCCGCAAAATTATCCGATACTAATACAAATTGCTTTTGTGATTCAGTACGTTTCAGAAAATCAAACATTAAAACGTTATATCAATTTTTTTTTTTTTTTTTTTTTTTTTTTTTTTTTTTTAGCGAAGATCAAGTGGTTATGAAGGTGATGAATGGCAGTTTCCCTCTGACAAAATTCGACGAATATTCAGTCAGCGAACGAGTTCCGAAATTCAGCACAATATCAAGAGATGGGAAAACGAAGACAAGTAAGTTGAATGACAGTGATTTACTTAACGCATTGCATAATTTAATATATTTCTTTTTTATTTTTGGAAGAAACTTAAATGGATTGCAGGTCTTATTGCTTTCACTTAACGATAAAATCATATTTACACAAATACACATTGTTGCCGTTCAGTGATGCAAAATTTCTTTATTTATCCTCGATGATTTAAAATTGATCTTCTCAGTGCAATCTAATTATTTAATAAGTATCATAACCTAAGTTAATCAGCTTAAATTAATCTTTTAAAAGTTCATTTATCTGTACTTGTGTAATTGTTATTTTATATAAGTGTTCTATAAATAGTTATTATAGTGTTATTACAAGAGTTTTTTATATAAAGAATAACATAAATAAAATAAATTGTTTACGCATATAAGAAGTCAACGCCATTATTTCTAACTCTGCTTCTTGTATACACTACATAACAGGTCAATTGTAAAATTCATGTCTTTAGTTCTCATAGATACATAACCATCAGATTTTATTTCCGCTGCTGATGGTAGGTGCACTGTATCATGTCAATGATACGTCGTTTCTAACAGCAGTCAAGGGTCAATGACTCGTCGTTAACGAGTTCTTCGGAATCTTTGCTGAAAGTTTGACGTTCATCACTGCGAGATCTGCGGCTACATATTTTTTTATTTATTTATTTATTTAACCGAAATTACAAACCTTTCTTTAATTAAGATTCCTGTGAATAAACTAGAAGGATATACTATAAATAACTACATGACCGATTTTTATAAATAATAGTAACACCACTGTACAGAACTTTCTGTTCAAATGTCAGGCAATTTATTTCTATCCTGAAGATTCTGAAAAAGTTAATGTTACTCATATCAGCCGCATCTTTCTTTGAACTCTGCTTAAGTAGTTAAGCTGCTATCTCCAGTCGGGAATCCATGTATAAATTTGTTAAAAGGATTATTTCAGCTTCCTTAGGACTGGCTTATTTATTATGGTAATATTTTTTACCTTCAAATAAAATTTTCCATGTTAGTAAAATGTCACATGTTTCCCGAGAAATTTGTTGGATGCTTTTGATATTACAAAATTTAATAAGCCCATTATTCACTAGCGTAGATTCACTCAACAAAATATCTGAACCGATGAAATCATACCTTATGCTTCCTAACCTCACTTTATTTTGCGCTGGTATTATAAGGCATTTGATAGTGTCAATAGTGATATAAGGCATTTGATCGTGTGTGCCTCTAGCAAAGGCATTTCGAAAATTTTGAAAATTAGTGCTTAAAGTACCAAGTGCTTTTATTTGCGTTGATTTGTTATAGGTAATCTTCAACCTGAAGCATTACTAACATAATACCATTTGGAAAGACATTGCCCACCAGATATTTCCAAAATGTGCTTCAAATTTCTAGAGATTCATGAAAATGTTTTATTGGACAACTGAAAAAGATAATCGAAAAATAAATCTGTATAATTTATATTTATATTAATTTTATATTAATATTATACTTTATTTTTCGCTGGTATTATAAGGCATTTGATAGATATCGTGTGTGCCTCTAGCAAAGGTATTTTGAAAATTAGTGCATAAAGTAGAAAGTGCTGTTATTTGCGTTGCTTTGTTATAGGTACTTTAATTAGTCTTCAAATTGAAGCACTACTAAAATAATACCATTTGGAAAGATATTGCAGACTAGATATTTCAAAAATGTGCTTCAAAATTTCCAGAGAATCATGGAAAATTTGAAGCACATTTTTGAAGCAATTGAAGCACATTAAAAAAGACCATCGAATAGTAAACGTGTATAACTGGCAAACTAAACAGGATTACTGACGTCACACGTCATTAGTTACGAACTCGTAATAGCCTATTTTGTGGTGGTGTACTGAATTAAAATGAATAAGGATTTTATAAATATAGTAATAGATACAAAATGAATAATAAAACATGTTAGAAAATAATTTGTACCTGTACCTCAACCAATAACTTCCAATCAAAGAATATTTACATTTTCATCGGGCCTGTCTTCAAATTTTGAAAAACCTCCTCGTTTCCATCAAATGATATGTTTAATAATTAAAATAAAAGTATCTAAAATCCAAATATAAAAGAAAATTTTAAGTGTGGCGCTCCGATGATGTCTTCATAAATTATTTATTTTCTTTGAAATCTTAGCAGTCTGTGTACAGAGCCTTTAAAAATTTTGAGATCGTGCTGCCATGTTTTGGCTTTAGTTATAATTAAAAGAACAAAGCTTTTGTGAATAATGATTTTATTTTTCAATAGCGCACGGGAAAGACTAATTAATGGAAACAATTTTTTGATAAATTTTATTTCTCTAAGAGAATTAAAAATACGTATAGCAATGCGTAGTATACTTTCTAGTGAAATTATTTGATCGCCATTTAAAAGGAAGGCATTTAAAGTAAGCATTTTTAGTGCTGCCATCTTGTGATCAAGATATTAAGCATTTCAAGAACTTTCAATATATGCTGTTGAGATCAATTTGATATTATCCATATGAAAATAATAATAATAATAATGTATTTTATGTTCCATTCAGTTCATTGACAAATTATAAACATAAAATGTAGTAATTAATAACAGTTCGTAGTAAGAACGACTTAATATCTTCATCAGGGCTTAATTTCTAAAATTAGAAATGCCGGAGCCTTATCGAAGACCATCAGAAAAGAGGAAAAAATAAATGTATAAATAAAATGACTCATAAAATCATTAATAGTTGAAAAAAATTAAAATTTAATTATTAAAATAATTAACTAATTGATGATTCGGATAATGAAATAATTAAAATTTCATAAAATGTAAAGAGATAAATAAAAATTTAATAAGTAATTCAATAAATAGTAAATAATAAAATACTGTATCCTGACTTCTGGATGCAATTAAAACTTAACAAAAACTAAGAAATAAATCAGCCGGTATCTGACTGAATTTAAGCTTTGAATATAATGGGGGATGATAGAAATAAATTCCTCTTCCAGCACACCAATGAACAGCAAATGCTAATTCAGAAGTCAAACAACAAAAATCAGCGTTATATTTACAAAATTTTCACAGGACTAGTTTCGATGGTTTTACCGAACCACCATCCTCAGCTGCAAAACCGCAAATGAACAAGATAGGAAATAATGATTAGATAAGATAAGAAAGCCTGGACAAGAATAAGCAAGTGGCGCCATCTGTTGGTGAAACCAGAACTAAAACATAATTTCTTTAAAGGCCGCAGGCAAATTGGATTGGAGTTAGGATCGTTAACTAGAACAGAAAGATTTTTATGAATGTGAAATGCCTCTAGAAAATCCAGTTCTCCAATGGAAGATGTTTTTTAAATAATTTGGGCAGCAGAAAAATTGAACGTGTGATTTTCGGACCAACAATGTTGAGCAACAGAAGACTTCTGTGTTTCTTTTTTCTAACATATGCCTCATGTTCCTTGACGCGAAATTTTAAGGCTGTCTTAGTTTGGCCAATGTAAATTAAACCACACTGGCAAGGAATCCTATAAATACCCCAGGAATTCATATCCGGAATGGGGTCCTTGAGTATGGAACTCGGAATTTTATTGATGGGAGAATAAACAACCTGAAAGTTAAATTTCTGCAAAATATGTGCAACTTTATAGCTAATTGATGGAAAGAAGGGAATGACAACAGAATTTTTATAATCTCCTAAAACAATATAACGCTGATTTTTGTTGTTTGACTTTTGAATTAGTATTTATTCGGAGTGTTATTGTGTCTTAATTAACAGTAAAATGGTTAAAGCATCACTAATGACATTAGAAGGAATACTGTACATAAAATTGAAGAATCAGGGTACATAATATTGAAGAGTTATTAGGTTATTTGATTACTTGAAGATGTGGAAAATGCGAAGTACTCCCTCTGTCCTTTTCAAATGGAAGGGAACTCCTCAGAATTTCCTTACTTAAATATTTATATAATTTTAAAGAAATAAAATGCAGAAACAAACATCGTAGCATTTAACATCGAAATTCTCTCTCTCCACTCTTCTTTTTTTTTTTTTTTTAAAGATGACATTTGTTTCTTTTAAGAACAAAGATTTAACTTTTATTTCCTTGTTAAAAGTAAAGGAAGTACAGTAACCGCGAAAAATTTCGGGTATCATATTTCAATGGAAATACCCATTCTGGCCATTCCTAAATCCATCTTGAAGATTATTTTTGAGTGACGTTTGAAAACATATATGTACAGAATAAAGAAAGGACTCTTTATCCCAAAATGGATTGTAAAATAGGTGTAAAAAGGATTTTCCACCCCCTTACTCGGCCTATAATTTCTCAATCATTGGACTAGTCATTTACTTCCATTTACAGAAGTGTTTAAAATGACAAAAAATATTCATATTCTGAGTGTTAAATTTTTAACAAAAATTAATTTTTGACAAATAACGAAATCAATCCAAAACTTTTAATTTGATCTCCCGGTTCCTATACTAATATCTGAGAATGTTTTTGTTTGTTAATATTTAGTCATTATAAAAATACATAAATACAAGAAATTGACTCCCGTACGACAAAAGTTGACTGGGATATTTGATTTCAAAACTTGTAATTTTTTATGCCATTTTAACTTTGGCTTGAGGGATCGAGTCAGCTTGAGTTGACGTTAGAATAATTTGAGGAAACGAATTTCAGTGAAGTGCAGTAAGAAATGTAGATAATTTAACAGACTGTACAAGGAAGTTATATAGTGTTAATTTTTAGTTAACAACACTAGATATTGTTTGTTTTTTGCTTATTTAATGACAAAATTTCAAAATAATCCCTGAGATGTTAGACCGCAGTTGGAGATTTTTAGAATTAAGGTTTACTTACTTATTTAATGATTTTTCTTCTCCCAAACACTTTTATTGTTTTTATTTATTTATTTATTTTTAATTAGTGTATCAAATCCGAGGCGAACTGGTTTATTAAGCCCGCATCAAACAGAGAATGAAACAAGTGTCGACGACTTAATATCTGCGGCTGAATGTGCAATTCAAGGACTAAAAGGTAAACAGACAACGGATATATTAATTAATCTGAGTATTTGACTTGCACGTATGTATATATTGTCACGTTTATGGTGCGAGTAAATAAATACAGTTTACGGCTCGTTGATTAGATCCCTCGGTAGTCTATTATCTTCTGTAGAAGAAAAACAACAAAGTCAATAACAACAAAGCTAAAGTTAGGAAGAATTCTGCTACTTTTAGCATTGGTCCGAAAATTTTAGCCAAAGTTTGAAATATGCAATTAATTATTGGTACTGCTCGAATCTGGTGATGAAATATCGTCAATGATTTCTTATATTTGATTGTTTTCATACATTTAATTGTATCAAATATATTTGATACAATTAAATGAAAGGATGTCAAATGAATTATATTAATGAATTTTTAGACTTTCATAGATGAGAAAGCATGCTTTTTCGTGAATGACGAAATGCTGTTTCGAAAGCAGAGCAAAATTAGGTAATGGAAGGGATCGATAATTTAATATGATAATATTTGAAATTTTTATGATTATATTATTTCTTATTAACTCCCGAAGGCACTGGAAGGATCATTGTTTTATTTCTTTTCATGCTTACACTGGGGTATTTGCTTCGGTTTATAAGCAGGAGAGAGATAATCCAAATAATTTTAGTTTTAATTTTAAAATTCTTCATAAAACCGATATATGCGTAATTTCTGCTCTTAGTTATTGAATGGTCAAGGTCCTATGTGGACAAGAATTACTAGGAATATAATAATGGTAAAATATTTTTACGCCCCTTCCATAAGTTGTGAAAACACTGATAATTAGATTACTAAATAAGAATATTTTGCACATTCGGAAAAATATTTATTCAGAATTTCCATCAATTTCATGAAGAACTGGTATTTTTCTATATACTGTGTAAAATTAACCATCATTCATTTAACAGTCAGTCTGTATATCCAGTCAGGCCACTGAAACAATACAAATTCCTCTAGATAAATGAATCCAAACACATAATAACAAGATAAAAGGTGAATTACGCAGCAAAAAAGTTTGTTTTATCACTGAAAGGTTCAACCTGCTGTATTAAAGAATGCAATATTGCATTGCGAATATTTTTTTATTATAAATGAGCTTGCAATTTTGGTAATCGCCGGATAACAGGCTTTTCATAAAAATGCAGTTTATACAATCTGAAAAGGCAGTTAACGTAAGTCTATACATTCGGATATTACATATTCATTGGTTTATAAATTCGGAAAATACATTTTATTTGTGTACTGCTTTTTTAATGACACATAGCATTAACTAATCGAAAAAAAATGTTTTATAGGCTAGGCCTTGCATCGTATACATTTTCATAAAGTAAAATATTTAGCCTAAAATAATTGTGAATCTGTTCCGTTTGAAATATGGAAAATTGTTATCTTTGTATTTCCAAAGTTTTTTGGAACACACACACACTTGCTTAAAAACTCTCGATATTCTTAGAAGCATTGGTAGAATTCTTTTTTTTTTTTTGGATCGGTAATAAGCTGGCTGCCGCGTTGTTTCGGACAGCTTGCTTGATAAGAGAAAAATCGGAGTCGAGAAATCTGGGAGCTGTGGCGGTCACAGAAACCAAAACTGCTTTCGTCAAACTCGCTTTGCTCAAAAATGTGATATTGCGCCTAATGACAGGAAAATTTTGTAGTTCTTTTGGCACTACAACACAACGAACGCTGCTCCGAGTGAACTCTTTTCGATTTGTATCTTTTGTACAAAATACGCTAATGATTTCTAGCAGCCAAATTCAATTATTGCAAGTTTTATGTCCGTGAAATGCTACTTCCGCCAATAGTTTGGACAAAGAGAATTATATATTTGTCGGTTTTTACAATAAATAAAAAAAGATCCTGATATATTTTATTTTAAGTCAAATTTAATTAAACAGCGTTGTAGGTATTTGATATTTACCATACTGATTTAGATTTGTTTTAAACTTATTTTACTGTACTTAATAAGAGGCTATTATGTCACCAATTTTTAAATCGTATCTTAATTTGTATTCGTGTTATAGAATGCATTATTCGATACCTTATGCATTATAATTGAATAATGGTAACCATATAAGTGAATAATGGTAATTATGCATTATAATTGAATAATGCATTATTCAATTGTCTGTATACCTCTAGGTGACAGTAGCAGAAGTTTCTATTATTGGTCTTTCATTTATCTATCACAACGGCGCTTTCGAGACCGATTGATAATTGAAGTTCTGCATGAAATATGTAACTGTAATATATATCAGGGTGGTCGTAAGAAACTTCCTCGATATTTCATTTCGATTGGTTGAGCGGCATATCCGCTCAACCAATCGAAATCCATCATACCAAATAAAATTTCAGATATTGTTTTTTAATGCTATATACGTTTGAAATAGTGATGATTTAAAACTACACAGCATACTACGCACTATGCCATAAATCATCAACTCATTTAGGCAAGTATTGTCACTGCGCGAAAGAAGCTGTTTCATATTTCTTCCTCTCATCTTTGCGCATGAAGTGTTGCCATTTGGTAAAGCATAAAAATAATTCTTTTATTTTTCATTTCATCAGTCTGCAAATGCTTAACAAAGGAAGCATTTTAAAAATAATTAGTTCGCGTTTCATAATTTAAATAATTTAATTTTAATAATTTCTAACGCTGTTTAATTAAATTTGACTTAAAATAAAATAGAATATTTTTATCTAATAAATGTTATTTATAGGCTATTTAATTCATAAATTTTATGTTCATTTGTAATGTTATTGTGAGTGATAAAAAGTTTATATAGTGCCATATAGTACAGGGACTAGGTACAGAATCTGTTGAATCTTTTTTCCCCTTCTCAGATATTCTGGTGCAAGTTGATAATGGATCAAACTCGACGAATGAAAATACTTTAAAGGTTTCGGAAGATGTATCTAAACAAGCTGATGACGTAAGTTTTTATAAATTTAGTTATTCTTTTGTGTTTTTGACATTTTATACTTTTTAATAAGAGTAATTTGACGAATTTTTCTCTGTTTTATTTTAATTAGCTAAAAGAAAAGTGGGTGCTTACTTCGATTTCTCGGGTAAAGGAAGTGGCAAAGGATTTCAGAGGGAGTCCTCTTATGCAGATGAACTTATCCAATTTTGATTTGCAAAAAATGTAAGTGTCTATTTCTTTAATGCTGGCGGTTAATTTCACAATAAAGGATTTGGGTACTGTGAAAGTTATCTTATGTACTATCAATTAAAGAAAGCGACTAATAAATGATTACTATATTAGTCGCATTTCAGCTTTTCTGCACAGTTGATTCGTTCAGGATTAGTTTCATAAATTTAGAAACGGATTATATGTCGTGCAGTGTTTTTATCTTGAAAAGCATTATAAAATAATTTACATAGCTATCTAGAGAAAACTCACGAAATTTCGCAAATTTTCGTAGTCAAGGAATAATATTTGAAATATTTCGATTGATCCTTCTAAACAAACATAATTTAATTAAATATTCGAAATTTTCGTTTGATCAACCTAAAAAATATAATTTAGTTATGAAAATAATTAAATTAGATAGACAGACTGACGGAAGATAAAAATTAAATAATATTCCTTAGCAGATTCCTTAGCTGATTATACTTGTGTTTTTTATTAAAAAATCTCCTGATGCATTTTTGATTTATAAAATATCAGTTTGGGGCGGAATTATTGGCATTTTTTAATGTAATCGCTACATCGATACGCTAATATTATTTATACAAGATATTTTCTTATTACATATATTAGAAATGTCTTTATTGAAGTTTTTGCAAAATATTTGGACTGTTGTGTTACGTTTCATCAACATTTATTAGTAATTTGATTAGTGTTGCTACTACACAAAATATCGCATTACTCAAAATCTAAGGTCACTAATGCCCTTTAGTTATAAATAATCTATTTATGTTTACCGACCTACCCTTCCCCACCGATGACCTTCAGCTCGCAAATCACTAACGATGAATTTGTTTTATCGACCGAATTTGTTTTAATTTTATTTTAACAACCTACGTAAGTGAGATAATTTTTAAAATATTTTATTTATAACACGCTTGAATGATAGCTTATGACTATTTTCGGTATTATTTTGATTAAATAAAATATGTTTCTACCTTCATACATTATTTACTTAATAAGGAATCGTTTGCATTGTTAAATATTATCGGTTTATAATCGATTTTACATTATTTTAAGGTTATCTACAGTGTACAGCATGCTGAATAAAGCCACTGCACATAACCCTGCTGGTGTCTCTGCTACGGCTAATGAGCTCGTGAGGTTATTGCCAGCATTTTTGTTTGTGTCCCGTGAATTGAACACTAGTAAGTGTTTCCTCTTCTTTCTTATTCTAAGACGCTTTGTATATTTTTTTCATTTCCAAACTTGAATTTAATAATAAAAATTTCATTGTTATTTTATTTAATCCTTCTAAGCCAGGTTTTGAATCTATACTTCCTATCTGAATACTACAGCTTAGGCCACGTAAAAAATAGTCCACCTTCAGCGATAGTATGACAAAATGAATACGAAATTTCTCAGAGTAGGGGATGAATAGGAAGACAAAATAAAGCTAGAATATTGCTTTATTTAACGATATCAAGTTACTGGACAGATGGACAATCGGTGGACGTAGAACAAGGGCTCTAAGTCCTGCCTCCAAAGACCTGGCGCCGGTATTGAAAACGGATTATTTTTTCGTAGCCCACACTGAGTAAAATAGTTCAACTAAAGTTTCGATATAAATTCGTATTTAGGAAGCAATTTGGCTCAAAAATTATTTTAACTTGAATGAATTCCGAATTAAATTAGTTAATTCCGAATTAAAGTTCAGTTTTAATTTGATTAAACGATCATGCTATTTTACAAAAATTACTTTCAGTTTAAAAGTAAGTAAGCTTATTTTAAATTAATGTCTCATTTATACGACACAATTTTAACAGCATATGAAACTGCCTGTAATTAACATTAAATTTTAGAGAAAAGCAGAGCTGTCGCTACGACGCACTAAAATATAAATAATTTGTAATTTGCCGATGCAACATCTATTAATTAATGTTATCACAAAAACAACAGGCCGAAGAACAAATTTTAAAGACAGTAATAATTAGCAACAAGAGTCACCCTAACTTGAATAAATTTTCGGGACTATAGTTTTGAAGGTAAAATAGAACCTCTTTTCTCAGCTGTAGGAGTGAAAATGATGACCTGATACCAAAGGACAAAAAGTTTGAGAAAGTTCCAGTTAAAGAGACGTGGAAATCAAAGTCACTGGAGCTATCTACTGACAAAAGCCAAGCTGATAGTAATGAGGCATTGAAACTGGGATCATTAATTAGAACCGATAGGTTTTTATGAATGGAAAACTTTTCCAGGAAATCTAATTTATCAAACGAGAAGATGTTTTTTAAATGGTAGGCATTGCTGGTCACGTTCATAAGAATTTTTCGGTTCTGGTTAATGATTCCAGTTTTAATCCTCCTTTATCAGTAGCTTTACAGAAAATTATTTGCTAGTTGCTTTTAATTCAGATTTTAGGTGGAATAAGTGGTTTTGTTTTGCCGTCTTTTAGGTGGAATTATCTTGAAATTTTCGTCAGTTGTTATTGTGTAAGCACTTTTCTCTGTTGTCAATATTTACGCTTCTGTAACTGAAGAAGAAAATTCTGTTTAACTTTCGAAACTATAGTCTTTTTGAAATTTATGCACGTTATACCAAATCCTGTTGCGAATTATTAATATCTTTGCAAAATACACCAAAGTGTCAATTTCAAGATACAATCATTGTGTTTTGCCAGATTATAAGAAATTCATGAGCCGCTAGAGTAACGTCTATTAGTCTGGCAGTTGCCAAAATCATCCTATTTAAATTCGTAAATTTTCATATAAGTAATTCATTGATAATTATTTCAGTATGTCCGTTATTTATTAATTGATGGCGTTGCTTCGTCCACTTATACATATAGCCATTAGTCATCTACCTCTTATTACGCATAGTATACCGATAAAGTGAAATTGTGCCTTTTTTATTAAATCAGGTGCTATTAACTAAGACTGTCTTAGAGGAGATGTTTAAGAAAATAATACTAATATCATAACTTCCTTTTCCTATCATTTGTCAGGGCTCACCAAGGGCTGAGCGGTAAAGTCGCTGAAGAATGGTATTTCGACTTGGGTGTGATTCTTATGGGGATGGATGCATGGTCATTTTTATAGTTTTCTTCTGTGCAACTTGAATAAGAACTAGTTTTCCTTAGAAATTCTTCCACAAAGACAGATAGCACTCGCGAACTTTGCCATAATCAAATAAAATCAAACTATAGCACAGCCAGTGAGCACACAAATCCCAGTGAGCGGGTAGATGCACGGGCGCTTTTGTGGTTTTCCCACTGCTTAAAGTAGATATAAGGTCATTTCCTCTTAGGAAGTCCTCCAAGAAGACATCTATCCCCTTAGGTGGATAGCCCTTTCGTGCTGTGCCGTAAGCATACAAACTAACTTATCATTTACCACTGCTATTACGAATAACTCATTTTAAATATATGCCAATTTTTAAGTTTGGGATTTCTGACGGTTTCAGTTTTAAACTACTAGGCTTTTTGATAGTGTTTAGCTTAAAACTATTTCAGGATTGGAACCTGAACAGTAAAATGAGATTTCATTAAAAAAAAATTTTTTTTTTTAAATAAAATTTTTTAATTTATGTTTGTTAACCTGCATAAAAATGCAATCTTCTTTGAGGTGTTAGACTATACTCTGCAGTTTTGAGACTATATATTTTTTAATTTTGCTATAGTTATAGGTAGAAGTAATATTTATGTTTTATTACAGTAGATTATGCATTGTGCATTTTCCTGGAAATGACAATAGAGACTTGATTTGTAGAAAAAAACAGTCTTCGTGAAAATATGCCCTATTAAAAACTAACGGAAAAGAGACAAATTTAAATTTCTGATTTTTCCATTGATGAACCTTTCACTCTCATTCACCGTACCAATGAAATAATACTGCTGAATATTGGCAGCTCGACCCGGGCTCTATCCCGACAGAACTGGCCGGCTGCATGATTGGCTTTTATGGTTTTCTCCATGTTTACCGTAAATGTGAGCCAGTTTTTCTGAGACCATCTTCCATGAAGGCCTTGTTTTCCGTTGACAGATAGCCCTCGTGTACTTTTTCATTCCAGCTACCGAACTTAATCTAACCTTCACTTTCATTGAAACACGAGTGGTTTACAGATACGGCTTTAGTTCCTGCACACTTAACATTCTATAAGCAAAAGATACTAATATTATGAGCATTGAATTGCTAAAAGGTGCTGATATTTGTTGCCTGGTTGTATAAAAAAGATCTTCATCGTTTTGTGAAACATAAGATGTTTAATTTACTTTTCTTACGGCTTTCCAAGTAGCCATTTTTCAGAATGTTATCATTCATCACAAAGGAAAGTATCATCAAATCAATTTTCAAATTTAATCAGTTTATAACTGCTTAACACTAAACAGTTTAAAAATAATAAAAAAAAATTCTTAATAATTTTAATTTATTTTTCAAAATAATTCTAATTAGTTACTTCATTAAATTCTAAAGTACTCTGTGCCAACTACATAATATATGCCGTTAGAAACATTTTTACTAATTAGAATAATTCTTGAAACGTCTACAATAAGTTATCAGTTGGATAAGCTATGAATTGAATATAATTAAAATGATAATAATTAAATATTAAAAAATAAATACAGGTTTATGTTATTGAAGAAATTAAACAACAAGAATCAGTGTAATGTTTATAAATTTTGCAGGACTAGTTTCCATGGCTCAAATACAGAACCATCTGCATCAGCTGCCTAAGTGCAAATGAACGAGATAAAATATGGGGAGAAAATAAGATTGACTGGAAAGAATTAAAGCTATTAGCGCCATCTATTGATGAAATAAGGAAACTAAAGCATAACTTCCTTAAAGGCTGAGGATAAAGATGGATTGGAATTAGGGTCGTTAACTAAAAAAGAAAGATTTGTTTTTAATGGCAAACCCCTCTAGACCAATGAAAGATTTTTCTTAAATAATTGTGGCAGCCTCCCCCCCCCCGAAAAAAAAGGAAAGTGGGATTTTCGGACCAACAGTGCTGGGAAACTGAGGATTTCAGTGTTTCCTTTTTCCTAACGTATGCTTCGTATTCTTTAACGCGAAATTTTAAGGCTCTGTTAGTTTGACCAATATAAATTAAACCCACTGGCAAGGAATCCTGTAAATACCCCAGGCACTTTTATTGAAGAAGAAAAAACGACCCGAAAGTTAAATTTCTGTAAAATACGTTCAATTTTATAGCTAATCGGTGGAAAGAAAGGAATAACAGCAGAATTCTTATAATCATCTAAAACGACAGAGGGTCTTTTATGTATAGAATTCAGAATTTTTTAACCGCTTGGTTAATAATGTTGGGTGAAAAGCCCCTGTCAATAGCAAGTGCTTTTAAGTAATCAGTAAGTTCTTGATCAAAAGCCACTTTCGAGAAGTAAACTTGAAGTGCACATAAAGCAAAGGAATAAAGTGAAGATAACTTCTGTTTAGTCGAATGATATGATTTGAAGTGTGGTGGAAGGTAAACCGATGAAGGTTTACATTAAACAGTAGTACTGAAGTTGGATATATTACGTGTGACTAAAATGTCAAGAAACGGAAGGGCATATGATGTCTCAAGTTCAAAAGTGAACTGAGTAGCAGGATTAATGGATTCATTATTGAAAAAAAAACTTTATTTAAATGATCTTCATTACCGCCAAACAGAGTAGAAGTATCGTCTACGTAGCGGAACCAACCACACCGGGAAGTTTGAAGTTTAAAATAATTTTGATTTATAATAATGCTTGTAGATAAGACGAGGATAAGACTAAGAGAGCTTCCCGTGGCTAATCCCTCAGTTTTCTTGTAATACTTATTTTGGAAAACAAAATGTGTTTGTTTCAAACAGAGTTGAGTAAAGGAAATTAGCTCGTCAATTTCGATGCAGAAGAAATGAAAATCACAAAGTCTGATTTCTAATCATCTTAATGTACCTTCCATTGGAACATTGGTAAATAATTGCTTTTATATCAAAAGAAACCATGAGTAAATACCTAGAAGAAATGCTTTTAACTTTTTTTGTAAGTGTAAGTGTTATTATCTAATAAAGCTTAAAACCTAGAAACTAAATATTTAGCAAAGGAGCATCGAAAAGAGCGCTTTTAACCTCAGTATGTTTAATTTAAATGTCTAAATGGACAGTTTTTACGAATGTTTCTAGAATTATTCTAATGAATAAATGTTGGTTCAATGCTATATATTACGTATGTAGGTACAAAATAGATTTGTTTAATTGATTTATATTTTCTAGATGCCACTTTGATCAATGGAATCCCAAATCTAATATCAGCCTTCGTAGATGATTTGGAACCTTTGGTTTGGAAATCTATTTCACCTGATAATGTAAGCATTTCTCATTCATGTTTAAAACAATAATTTAAGGTTATGAAGGCATTTTAGAACATCTTAAAATGCAGCGTAAATATTTATAAATGCGAAGAATATAGTTGATTATCTGGAATTTCTGATGCGTATATGACTATGTTTTGCAAATGTATGCAAATACTATTGGTGTTATATAAGTATAAATATTATAAAATAATTCCGCAAATATCATATAATATTTTAAAACATTGTATAATATAAAATAATTGGAACCATGCGATTGACACATGTTATAAAATAACTCGAACCATGCCATTAATCGCCAGGAAATCTTTAATCTCTTTTACGTGTAATTTCTCTGTTACATTTTATAATACTGTTGTTAAACCTTTTTTGTTCCTTCAAAATCTTTCAGATCAAAAGGGGGGGGAACATTTCAGTTTGAAATAAAAAGTTTTTTTTTTTTTTTATATGGAAAAAAAAAGGAATTTATCCTGTCGACCATTAAGCACGGCGATTTTAGCGCCAATTAGGTTTGCCCTAATAACACAATAATAACATCAATATTTTCGTTCGATGTAACCCCGTCTGATTCTAGATAAGCCACCTTTTGTTTTTGTGAACAAGATGCAAAAATTAATATAATTATTACCGAAAGGTTATTGTGCTCCTTGTCATTTATATTTAGGAAAAAATCAGCTTTCGATTAGCTTAAGTTAAAAAAGAAACTCAAATTTTAACAAAACACATAGTTTTATTTAATATCTACTCCAATTTAAGTTTTTTTTTTTTTTTTTTTTTTTTTTTTTTTTTTTTTTTTTTTTTTAGAACCATTACTGATATTTGAACAAAACGAATCTTCAGGAAAAAATTAAATTAACATATCAAAAATAATCTAAATGAAATCATTGTAGAGAGAAAAAAACAGTTGCTCTGCATTTAAATTTTTGGGCTGAATTATAAATAGTTAGATGCTTTATCGCAGAGACTTTATGAAATAAAATACTTAAGCTGACGAGAGTAAATTATACCTTACTCATAGATATATAGCGGTTCCTTGGAATACGTTATTAATCCGGTCCGTAACCTTGGACTTTTGATTGAAAGTATACAAAACAAACTTTTCAGTAAGAAATAAAGGGAAAACAATTAAATCATTCTGAATACAGACAATGAAAAGCCAGAGGTGGGCTATTCACAGGAATCTAAAGAGCATTGCCTGTAATCCAGTTCAGTTTACTTTAAACCGTAGAAGGATAGCAGAAATATATTTGTATGGTAGACATTCACAATTAACGGACAGTCGAGTTTTACTTTTGCCATTGTTTTTATGGGTGTTTCGGTCGTAAGCAATTTTTTTTTGGGGGGGGAGGAGTTGGTTTACCTGTCTCATAATTTGATACAGGAAAATGCTGCATTAAAATCACGTCTTTCCTGCCTTACGGCCTGGGTCATTCTAGGCAATAATCATTAATTAGTCAGATAATTTCATAGAATGTTTTGGGTAGTAATTAGTCCCAATATAGGAGCAACTACAAACGCCAAACACTCATTTTGTAATTACAGCTTGCTCTTTCATATTCAGCGGCTTCTCTACTAATGATACAAGCTCGAACTTGGGAATCTTATTTGGAATAAAAAAATGAGGTTTCAAATTTAATACATCATTCACTATTTCCTTTCATAATATGTGATAATATTTCAGTGAATTCACTTTAAACGCGAAATACGCATTTAGCTCACCCTATAGAGTAATGTAAGCTTTGCAGAGGAACAAACTTTTTTCCACAGATTAAAATTAGATCTCTTTACTCTTGTGCTACATAGAGATATCAGTTCTTCATTATTCTTTATTTTTTTTATTTTGTGTATTTTTAAAAGTTTTATCATTCTTAGAAATCATAAAAGAAGCATAATTTTTAAGCAATATGTTTTTATGCAGTATGTAACTATTATATTATGGCATTATTTCAATCACATTTCGTTATACTGATGACGAGGAAAAAATATTATTACAGTAATAATACATCATACTTAAATGTCATATTATCGTTATCATTATAAGGGCAGAGCCGCGATCCTCATTGCCGGCACAAGCCGGCCGTATGATCAAAAAAGGGGACTGGTCAGAAATTCATCAGGGTCGATATATGATATAGCAGACTTTAAATAAATTAATTCTAAGATTAAATCCATAAAATATTGATCATTAGGAAGGAAAAAAATACTTATCACTAATAAAAAACATTTTCACATAATTTAGATGTGCTAAAATTAATCAACACAATAAACTATATTAAATGCGGTAAGCTTTTCGCAGTTTCGTACTGTTGCAAAATATGAATTTTCGGATGAAATTATAACACTCACATGCACTTTGGAAATAATTTTAACACAAGACCAGAAATGTCTATAATTTGTAAAGAATTCCTTCCAGCTTCTGCATGTATTTGAATAAACTGTCCAAATATTCATTTCAATGTTTTCATTCCAGTTATAAATTTTTTGCGTTACTGAATATTTTGAGAAGAATCAAGTTCCCAATCCTTTAATTTTTAATCTTCGCAATTAATTATATGTACTTGATATTATGTATTTATATATTTTTGACAGGGTTATAATACATAGCAACACAAGGCGATTGTTTCAAATTGAATATGAATATATACTATGCTATACATGTATAAATGTTTATTAGGTACTATGCGAGAAAAAATGGGACAGTTTATATCTCCCGTTCTACTGGGCCGATTGACAAACTTCAAATTGCGTTGCGTTTTTCATATCTCGAAAGCTCGACTTGGGATATATATTAGATTTATATATAGCATTGTTCTAACATAGGTATTTTGACACAAAATTGAACCTTTTTCTGAAATTACATGCCAGTGTTTTTCCATATTTCGATTCTACGATTCAAATTACGCCAAACTACCAAGTTTTGTAAAAATCGCACGAGTAGTTTTTAAAAAATTAGCTCTCAAAATTTTAGCTCCTCCATGTTAATTCAATTTGGTATGTATTCATTAATCTCTCTTTTTTTTTTTATTAAACTTATTTGATTCCTTCTTACACAATTCGAAATGTAATTTCATTCGAAGAAACATTCACCCATTTTTAAGATTTACTTTTAAATAATGCTTCTAAATTTTTCGAAAAAATGTTTCAATTATAACCTATAAAAGTTTTAAAAGCATCTTAAAATAGATGTATTTTTAAGCATACCTGCCAAATATTAGAGCATTTTATTCGAAATTTCATTTATATATTAGTGCATTTTCAAATTTGGCATATTTGTTGAAAGCGATAATAACGAAAACGTGGTTTACGCTCTTTGTTAAAATTATTTGAAGATAAGAACGATGTGACATTTTCCCCACTCATCTACAATGTAAAATAATACGAACGAGGTGCCTTTTTTCCTTTCTGGCATAATGGAAGGGTAAGGAAAATAGGTTGCCATATATTAAGAAGTTCGCCAAGTGAATTATTCTTGGCGCAAACTTAAAAAATTGCGCCGAGATAAATTTTCGAATTTCTCCTTAAATTTCGCGCTAAATTTCACAAAATTTAACTAGGCATAATTTGAGTTGTAGAATCGAAAAATGAAAACAAAAATGGTATGTTATTTCAGAAAAAGTCCGATTTTGTATCAAAATACCTATCTTAGAACAATGCTATATATAAATCTAATATATATCTTAAGTCACGCTTTCGAGATATGAAAAACGCAATTTGAATTTTGTCAATCGGCCCAGTAGAACGGGAAATATAAAACTGTCCCATTTTTTTTTTCTCAGTGTACTTACATATTATCCCATCGATAGTGAAAACTATCGCCAAACAGTGAGATTTAGCGCCAGTTATGCATAAGCGTAGCGAAGCAACACATTCATAATATCTGCGTTTTTAGTTAATGTAACCTTGATTGATTCTTAATAAGCCATGTTTTATTTTCATGAATACAAAGATGTAAACTAATTGCTACTACTGTATGTTTTCATACATTTTCAAAAATAGAATGACTAAAATTTGGGATCTAATTTCTTTAGAAAGTAAGCAGTGAATTATTTTCAAAGTTATGGGATCCTGTCATTAAAAAAGTGTGTATTAATGAGCTCTATATATGGTCAGCTGAATAGGGCCAACAAAATGGTAATACATGGAACAATTACTTGCGGGAAGTTTGTAGTCATAGTGTTCTAAACAAAGCTTCCGGTAAAATCGGAGGACCTAACAAAATAGCAGAAATCGACAAAAGTGGGGTTTAAAAAACGCAAAAATGTAGCAGGTCGAATACTGATTATACATTAAATAAACAGGCGACAGTTCTATCAAAATTCTCCAGGAACGATTGGCGCAACTTTGACGAGATCTCCCTTAACTTTTTTGTTCAACTGGAATCAACTTTCACGGTCGACAGAATAATATGTATTCTGTTTATTATTGTATAAGAGTCGTTTATTATTGTATAAGAGTCGTTTATTATTGTATAACAGTCGTTTATTATTGTATAACAGTCGTTTATTATTGTATAACAGTCGTTTATTATGTATAAAATTTATTGTATAAAATCTTAAGAGAATAAAGCATGTTCGCAGAATTAAGTAAATAAATGTGCTTCATATATAGTGCATTATCGAAATAAATTAAACACTGTTCACTGTATTCATTGCATGTAGTTGTATTTGAAGCTCTAGAAATATAATTAGGTAAAGTTAACATAAGCATTCTTTCCACAGGCAGAAGACTTCACCAAAACAGACGTTAGCAAGAACTTCTGCATTTACGTCTCACGTTCAGCAGAAATTCATTGGAAAGGAATGTTGTGCGAGAAAGACACTTCGGCTTTCAAATTATACTTACCGAGAGAATCTGTAAAGAAACAGGTAATGTTCAATGAATGCAAATCTCTGATTTTACTTAAATCAAGCACTGATGCGTCCAAAACATCGATTGCTTGTATGAATTAAACTCATGATTTTGAAACTAACCTCAAGGAATTGCTTTCTGGCGAATATTCTGAGATAAGAAAATATGCAAATGCTTGAACTATGTCTTCGGGATTATTAGGAAACCTGCAGAACTATGTTCGGAAGTATCGCAAGGCCACGTGATTAGGACTTTTTTAAATGAGACGAGAAATGTCATGGAAAGCAACAAGTATATAAAAGTACTGGGATAATTAGCTAACAAGTTTAAAATCCCCAGACAGAGTCTAAGGAGACAATTTACAAATTTATAGAACAACCTGGAATAAATTTATTAAGAAAAACGATGTTTTCAATTTTAGTAGAATGAATTCCTGTGGGATAAGCCACCTTATTATTCTCCATTTAACTTACTATAATTCTAGTAATTTTCTGGGGTGTAGGATTCTGTAATCCTCAGACGTATGTAGCACACGCTAATGAGTATGTATTGATTGATCTTAACAGCTTCTTAATGCGCTAGTTATCCCTTTATTATCTGGCAGTGCCCGGCTATATGGACAGTAAAATCTTCTGAAACTCTCATTTTCGGTCACGTTAATAGGATTATTTGCACCAGGATATATATTGATACCTTGTTTGGTAAAAGACAGGTCCACTGATTGAAATTCAGTGATTCTTCTTTTCATGGGAATTGAAGATTCCAAATTTATATATATATATATATATATATATATATATATATATATATATATTCAATTTTTAAATATATATATATATATATATATATATATATAATATTTATTCAATTTTTAAAGACATATATGTCTTTAAAAATTGAAATAAAATAGCAAAATTTCATATAATTACAGATTCTTGGTGTCATGGAATTACATTTCTTAGACTGCCAGTATAAACTTTTATCGTTGCAGCATATATTTGTTAGCTTGATAGTTTGACCTGTTAAAAAACTTTATTTGGAAACTAGTTGAAAACTGAATAGCTGAAAATTTTGACCGGTTAAAATGATACTATTTACCCATTTATATGAGTGATTAAGCAGTTCAGTCAGTTTATTTAGGTTACCCGAACCCGTTATAACGATTTCTTTACGTTGCTGCTTTTGATTTAAACTTATTTCCTCGAATTTCATTAGAGATATATTTCTCATTCAGTCAATAAGATGCAGCAAGTAAAAGTACATAAAAACTCAAAACAGCTTCATTAAAAATTGTAAAATACGGAAAAACCTAAAGCACCAAACAGAGTTAAAAGCCGTTAAATTTTTTACAATTACAATTAGAGCTTAAATTATTAAAGTTAAGCAGAATGACATATTTTTCGTTTTCGACGGGAAACGTTTGACACCACTTGGCAAAAAGACACCTGAAGTTGGTGCAGAAACTGACTTAATTCACTATGCTACTAAGTTTTAAATGTAAACAAATGGCGGCGTCCTTAGGCTTAATGGAACTTAAGCAACTTTGAATTTTTTTTAATAATTCTACAACTATTGCATGCAGATTAACTAAAGGCATAAAAACCTTAACCGGAACATAAGAAGAACATAATTCAATACTTTTTAAAGCAAAAACTGCACAATTTACGAACATATAAGAATAATAATAAAAAAAAACAGAGCTCACTAAGCCGAGTACCAGAGGGGTATATATATATGTATATATATATATATGTACTTTCGGTGCCGCCGATTGCAACCAAAAACGGAAGTCCGCATCTACATGTTATAGCAGTCCTATATACAAAATTTCAAAGTTCTGAGGCTACTCATTTTCCGCCGTTCTGAGGCTACTCAGTTATGAGAGATACATACATACGCACTACGGACAAACGTCGCGAAAAAAAATCTCTTCTGAATCCATTTTAAATCCATTTCGCAATTCATTTTGGGGAAAACAGTTGTTTATTCTGTCCATACGTAGAGATGTAACGCAAAAACATTGTTTAAATGGAATCACGGGCAGTCAAAATGGATATTTTCGTTGAAATACGATACCCGAAATTTTCAAGATTCCAATACTTCTTTTACTTTGTACAAATAAGTAAAATATTTCCTTTACTTCTTATAAAGAAGTAAAAATAAGAAAACGAATTACTATCGCCCTGAAAATGACTACGCGAGCGTCAATATTTATGATATATGATCATTCTTTAAGAAAATGTTTAAATGACACACCTAATTGAAGCACAGTTTTGTACATTCCATTAAATTTGTTAAAATCTGCATTGGATTTTAATAAATAGTAAAATTCCCATTTGTTACACAGTTTGATTAAAGACGAGAGTTAACGCTTTATAAGAAACGCCCAGTCTTTCTTTTTGAAACGAATTAAGCTTATTTATATTTCGCAATCTACTCTCAAACTGAAGCTCGACTAGAATAAAATGCTAACTGCAAAATAACTTCGGTTACTTTTCGAACACCTTGAAAATTATGTTTACACTCTGCCAATTTTGTATTCAGCATAGCAGAAATTATTGTTCAATTGAGGGAAATATAGATTGCAAAATTCTTGCGCAAGATTGCCAGTGGAGCAAAATGAACATTACGACTTTAATAACGAAGATTTTCTTTTATTAAGATCATAAAATCTCCTTATGGTGTTAACGATGGAATAATATCATACCAAGTATTTCCCCTTCCGTTCTGCATTGCTATATCGAGCAGCTGTTTTCCAATAGATCATATTTTTATGTTCTTTATATTGAAATTCTTGGAGGTATTTTCTTAAACAGAGAGATCTGTCGAAACTAATAAAAGCTAAACACCCTTTCCTGTGTTAAACTAGGATCAGAATATGAAAATTAATTTGAAATTTTATAATTTTCTTTATTTAAACTTTTTAATATTTTTCATTTGTATAAGTGTATAATGAAAGACTTTTCCTTAAGGTATTATGTTTTAATCATCAGTTTTTGAGACTGCAATTTTGTTCTAAATGTGCCTGAAACAGACATTCAGGAAAGCAAGCAAAAATACAGACATTTGATTTTGATTTTTCTAATATAGCTCACAAAATGTTTTCAAGGTTAATTTTGAATGACGGATGAATTATAATTATTCCTAGTATTTATTATATAAATTTTTATGAAATTTCACTTAACGCGCATTTGCTTATGAATTATTAATGATGTTTAATTATTTTTTGTAAGCTCTTCATTATCATAATTATAAACTTTATTATAATTCTGATTATAATTTTATTAATAATTACATTCCTTTTATTCTAGGTCAATTTTACCAAATATACGAGCTCGAATTGGAATACCAGAACGAAATTCGATTCTCAAACTCTTGCTCGAATTTTGTTGGAATTATCATCCAGTATTGGATCAGTATTCAAAGTCATGGCCAAAATTTTAAAAGAAGTGCCCGGTTGCGAAAATACTTGCGGTAACGATGATGTCGTGTTGAAGAAAATATGCTTCTTGAGCCGATTGCAGAATGTGAAAAGTATAATGGATAATGACAGTGCTGATACCGAAGATAATGTTATAAATGTGAGAAAATGCACATTTTATAACTCCGTTGTAACAGAATATTTTTAAAACGTTAACTTTTTAAACTGATATATTTAAAATTAACAAAAATTACCACTCTTCTATATTTAACAATTTTTTTATCATTAGAAATGTCTTCCGTGAAGTATTTCCAAAATCTTTAAACACTATATTACGTTATAAATTTGTAACGTAACATTACGTATTATCTATTTATCGTTCACCTATATGCCTTTGAAGTATTGTCACCACGGGGAACATTGCATTGTTCTACACCAGTAACTGTCTTTCTACAGTCACTGCTTATACTTGGCACAGAATAGAAGTCTCTTATAACCTTCGTTTTATTTTTATTTTAATTATTTAACTAACTATACTGTACCACTCCACACTGTTCCCTCATGGGCTGACTCCAGTGACCTATAAAAATCATGGGTGACTAGTGAGCTTACATGGAATTGGGTATCGTTCTATTTTACATTTCTTACTGATCGATCTTAATTTACTACTTTGTTGCACACCGCTTGCCGTCAGCCTGTGAGTAACCAATAACTTGAGAGTCATACCTGGCCTGCTTAAATTTGATATTAGAAACATCTTTAGCAAAATCTTTCCTAATTTTTTGCACTGTTACACATGTTACATTATGTTACATCGATTTCACTTTCCTTGTTACCAACTATTATCATTAGACGAAGCATCACCTTCTTAAATTTTTGTTTTAAGTGATTGACAAGTCACTCATTGTCAGAAAGTTAGCTTTTTCGCGAAAGCTAAAGATCTTTAATTTATTGCTGAAGCATAATTAATCTCTGATTGATTAAAAAACTGATCTGTTTAAGGGGAGAAAACGAATTTCTTGATAACTTAATTCAAATCAGTGACAGCAACTGGCAGGTCATGTGTGATCAAGTTAATCATCTGTGACGAAGGTTATTGTATTACAAGGTTTCTTCTTCCCGCTCAGAAAGCTTTGAGCGTCTGACATCACCAATATACAGTCTTCTCAAAAACTACTACTCCCTACTCCTTACGTCTCCCACGTCTATAAGCTAAATGACGTCATTGTACTCTAGCATTGGAAAGAGCCTAACTTTTTCTACTGACCTTGGTTTTGATTATCACCTTCGTCTTTATTTTATTTAAATAATTTGCTCAATTAATATGATTTAAAATGCAGTTATTTTACAATACATCCTATAATAAATTTTATGAATATTTAATGAATATTCTATTTAATGAATATTCGAATTAATTTTATGAATATTCTAATTAATTGTCTGAATATTCTAATTAATAGAACATGCTTCTATTATATATCGCATACTTGTGCAAAATCATATTTTAATCGGATGGTTCATTATTCAAATAATAATTACTGCACTATGTGCATTATTCGAATCCTTCTGATTCATCTTGGTTAACCAAAGATTGTTGTTATAATGCAATCCAAAAAAGAATTGAAAATGTTTTGCAAGGTTAATTTTCTCAATACATAAATAATTAACATCAGAACTGTTTCAAAAATTTTAACTTGTTTATTTTTCAGGAACTGAGACCGTACTTCACTCTGAATGAAAATATTTTAGAAGCATATAACCTCTTTGTGGATACTGCTCATTCAACAGCTTCCAACAACTACACGGATGACAGGGATATTGTAAGACTGTAAGTTTTTGCTTTCAAGAAAGCAACATATTGTTATAAATTTGTTATGTAAATATGTGTGTTAATTTGCTTTTCATTTCGCTAGTTTTACTCGTCTGTTTGGTATTTCTGGGTATTTCATACTATATTTTATTTATCTAGTATATTTGTATGATGGTTTTATGTTTGTTTATTGTGTGCTTTCTGCCCACAATTTCTTCTGAAATTTCATTTTTTTTTCTTTCTTCTGTGTTTCTTATGAAAACGGCTTAAGAAGAACAGGAGGTTTAAGCTATTAAAACCAAAAAGTAGATTTTTGAGAGCTAGACCGGATTTTTATAAAGCACTTTACAACCTAACGGTGGGCAACTCGCTATTGCAGTTTATTAAAATGAGGATATGTATATATTCTTAAGCAAAAGGCCGGTAAAACACAAATTATAGTAGGAAGAAAAGTTAAAACTATTATATAAACAAGAACCTCACTGCGCAGCACGCGTTGTAGGGTGTATGGATTACAAAAGATAAACTTTCAAATATAAAAACCAAGGGAAGGCTAATTCTGGGAAATGACAAGAAAACATCGCACCTTTTGAGGACCAAATACAGATTGCTATAATAGTGAAATATACGGAAGTGCTGATTTTTAATCCATTCACAAAACGATTACAAGAGAAACTGCATTATGAAATTCAGTGAAGACAATCACAAAATATTTTGTGATCACAATCTTTCGTTTTGTCCTTTAACACATTTCTCGCATTCTTCATAAGTTCAAAAAGAGATTAATTTACTCGTCTATCAATAAAATTCATTGTCCAGCCTGATTTCTCAATAAATTTTGCGATAAGGGGAATTCATAACATCTATTCTCAGCTTAACCACATTTTGCAAACATAAATGTTAGATTAAAAGAGTGTTAAGATTAAAGATTAAAAACCCTATGTTAGAAAGAAGTGAATACGTATTAAATGGTTAATTTTGGTTGTTCCCTTAATCGCAAATTTGACTTTAGTTTCTTTAAATTTATCTAAAATTATCTTGAGGTGATGAACTAGATATCCTTGAGGCATTTCACATGCAAAAAAATTAGTTATTGACATTATTCCAATCTTGTTTTTCCCTAAAATTTCAAAAATTACTTATCTTATTATTCGGTTTTGGTTCTACCTATTCGGCTGCTATCTAATATTTACCCGGCTCTTTACTCCATTCTCAATGCAATTTTTACCTCTGAAGAAGGACTTTATAATTGAACATTCATCTTTATAGAAATAAAAACAGTTCCAATTTTCGACACTAATTAGTGTTGGACAATGAAAATTTTATTCAAAATTTAAGTTACCCATCTTTTGTGAGAATTTAAAAAATATTCTCTTGTATGAATATTCTGTTTGAACTAGCATGCCATCAGAGAAGAAATAATGAGCTCTGCTCAAACTATTTTGAACACGGTAGTAGTGCCTCATCTTCACTGTAAGAAAGTCTTAGGACTGCAAAATAATGCATGTACCAAGAAAGATGGCGAGGACACAGAAAAGAACTCATGATTTGAGTGTGACTCTAGGAAGGGAATGGTCGTCCATCCCGTAAGATGGTGTTAAGGAAAGGATGTTTTTGCGGTTGATAAAATTTCTTGTTCTCAATTTTCAAGTAGTGGAAAGATTTCTCTTTTTTGCTTCGAAAGATATTGTGATCTATTTTACTCTGGTATGGCGCAAATTTCACATGGTGTAAGAGGTGAAACACAAAATTCGAAAAGCTTGCAAGTTTTGCTACCGATTTCTCGCGAGAATGATTAGTAATAAAATGTGACTCTGGATCACTTTACGAACTCAGTACACATAATTTACACTATCAGGAGCAATAAATGCCCAGAACTTCCGTATTTGAGGCGTCTGCGATGTGGTGTGTAAAAAGCCATACATTCTGATTATGTGAGTTTGTAGCAAATTTGTCACTGATTTCATTCTGAGCCCATATTTATTTAAGAAGCTGATATTTAAAGATTCTGTAAGATCTTTTATTACGAATGAACTTAACTGATATTTGCCAAGATAACTTCCAGAAACTTAATCATCTCGCTCGCTCGCCCGTGAAATTTTTCTATGAAGCAATTTTCACTTTCGCGAGTGTATGTGTAATTTCGTATTTTTTAGATATTTTTTGAAAAGTTTCTCATTTCTAGAGAAATTAAGTATTTTTTTTAAATGAGAAATTTTTCTTTCTCTCAAACGGGTTTATTCCAATTAATTTTGAGTTTCATTGCAGCGTTGTTTCTGGAGTTCGTCTGCTAGAATCACTTGGAGGAGAAGAGCACACTCTAAGACCTGCCTTACACGTGGCAAATTCCCTTATCAGTCTGTTAAAAAACAGAGTGTCAGATGCTGCGATGTACAATGAAAGTAAGTTTTTCTTTTTCATCTGTCAACAATGAATATTGAAAATGCAACTTTTTAAAATTCTGCATAAATGTTTAGTAATTAGCTCAGCTATGTTTCTATAGCTCCAAAATGTAATTTGGAGCTATAGAAAGATATGAGTTAATTACTCCAAAATGTAATTTGGATAATGTAATGTAATAAGTTTTTTGAAATCTGAAAACTTTTGCTTAATCTTTAATGTCAGGAGGCGAACCCAAACTTCCGTGGCAAGGCACGCAATGTACTATACTAAAAAAATCTGTTGTTGGTTACAGAAATGATATTAATGATTATAAAGGATCAATTTATTCTTAATTATGCAATTAAAATTGCATCAAATAGCTACAGTACAAAACCTCTAAATGATTCTGTACTAATGTACATTATATATGGATTTAGAAACAACACTACAGACCACAAATATCGACAAAAATTATTTGTATACATTATTAGCTCAAAAGAGGCGTTAGCCCAAATGCACTGTTAGTCTGGAAAATAGGATTTTGCGTTGAATCACTATAAATGGCGTATCACTTGTTGCCACCAGTCATTATCACCCTGTATTATTTTTGAAGAAATAAGGTGATGAAGAATCTGCATGACTGTATGAATGATTTTCGCAATGTAAAGAAACGATGGTACCTAAAGCCTATTTGAAGGCTCTAGGTATTTCAACGTAGCCCTCCACCCAAACACGGGCACTTGGAAGCCAGAATTTTAAATTTAAAGAATTGGTTTTGTTACCTATTTTATATTTTGTAAACCTTAATGTATTTTTGATTAACAAACTCAAAGATCTCAAAGCAAGCAGTGGCAACACTATAAGGAATAAAACGTTTTTATCACCAGAGCGCGAGAGTGTCTATCAAAAATCCTAAAGACATGCTGTTTTTAAATATCTGGTGATTTTACTATTGAATTGAATTTTATGTGGCGTAAATACGAAGATAGATAGTTAAGATAGTTAATAAATAAAGTTAACTCATGTTAATAATAAAAAGACTAAAAAACATTTTTATCTAGCCATCTTACTTAGAAAACTAAAAACTTATCCGAGAAACTGAGAAAAGAGGGAAAAATATACGCCAACACTTAACACTGCATCAGAATTAAAAATTTTATTAAATTAAATAAACATTTTGTGAATTTGCTGTTGAACTGTATATGGCGTAAGTGCGATGAAAATGATGCTTAATAATGAGGCTAAAAAGGCAAAAGCAGGGGTCAGCAAGAGTGAGTGCAACAGAAGATTAAGTAGACTGCGAGAGCGTAAAAAAACTTTAACAAACCCTTTTCGACGATCGTTCGAAACCTTTTAGATATTTTAAGTAAAATGTATTTCTAATTATTAGTTAGATAAAGAATTAAAATTAAAAATAAAGACTTATGTTATAAGGAGCGAGTAATTTATTAACGAGTTATAAACTGATTAAATTTTAATTAATTATCCTGTGTATTTGGCAGAACTGCGAGATCTGGATCTTCGCAACTTTGCGTGGAAGATAAGCTAAAAATACTGTTTCTCTCAATAGCAGCATCTGAAAGCGTATTTTGTTAATAAATGCATAGTTGTTAATAAATGCACGTATTTTGTTAATAATGGACTTTATATAAAAGTCCAAAAATTTTGGAAAAGCACTTTAACTCCTTTCAGAGTTTCATCTATATGTTAAGAACTGCAAAGGGTTGGTGTTCAGTTTCACACATTTAAAAGGAATAATTTCGATCATGTATGTTTATTATTTATTATTTGTTCTCTTTTTAGCATCTGTAGTACAGATACAAAATGTATTCCCTGATTCGCCGTTGACTCAAGAATTAGCGAGTAATCTTCTTCCTTTATTGCCGGAAGTGACTTCAACTTTTTTGTGGACTGTTTTGGCACCTGGAGAAGTAACATTAATTCTTTTTTTTTTCTTGGAATTATGCATCTATAAAATTTGACAGATAAAAAAAATTTTAAAATTGATTTATATTTTGAACTGATGTATAAAACTCGGGCATAAAAAGGATAAACTAAAATTATGTTAAGATATTTTTCAGAAGCCACAGTGTTGGCAACTTATGCAGGAATATTTATTAAGAGGAAATTGTATTTAGAGTAATATGATCATTATTTTTATAGAGTTTCGTCTTCTTTAGTAGCATTGAAATAGGGAAGCACTCTCGAGACGTATGTGACTTATCACTGTGTCTTTGAAATTGCGACAGAAACGTACGAAAGGTTTAAAAAACCCTTTTATTTAACTCAGATAAAAAGTTTAACAAAAGACACTGCTCGCGCCTACAGAAACAGCCAGCATGTGTGGCTTAAATCAGAAGAAAACGAAATTCAAATTGACTTAAGTTAGCTGAAGGGCTACACAGACACAAAACACGCAAGATGGCTCAGATCAAATATTGGAGTGTCAAGTCTAATAGCGAGAATAACGCAATGCCGTAGATATACTGTTCTCAAAAGAATAAATTAGCAAACGTGGCTTTCAATACACGGAACACGTTCTAATTCTGCCCTCTTTCTTTTAAATACTGTCTCTTTACTAACTCAAAATCCAACTTCTTTGGAGACAACCTGAAAATTTTTACAACGATTTATAATGAATTTATTGAATTAAGTTTGTATTTTTAGTTTTGGTAGAACCAGTCCGTTGTAGGAGGCGCTTTCTTAATATAGAAATGTAAAATTTGTCTCAGTTTAACAATTTTCAAAGGTGTAAGATACAATTATTTGGCAGATAGATATAAATTAACGAGTACATAATTTTTGATTTTGTCGATTAATTAAGTGACGGATGATTGAGTAATGGAGTTATATTTTCGACGACACTATGACGAACACAAAAAACTCCATTTTAGTCCAAACCCATTCATATATTCAATAAGGTCGAATATCAACTGTACGTTTCTCTTAATTTGATAAAGGTGAGTTTCTTTCAATAACCTGTGTTAGAAATGCGAACTGTAGAAGAAAACTTCTGACTGAAAGCTCATCTTCTAGGCACGTAGTGTCAAATGCAAGTAATTGCTTAAAGAAATTAGAATTTCTTTTTTCAGATCAAAAAGAAAATTTACTTCATTTAGGCATTTCTCTTGTTTGTAAAGAAGTAGAGAGTATATTCTGATTTCATTTTTTTAAATTTTTTTTTAAATATTGGCATAAATGGAGGAATAAAAGTGTTCTGTCAGAGCAACTTGTCATGATGATAATTTGCTTAATTTTAGTCCTAGTTTGTTAATTTTGCCACATAAACGACTTTAGTAAATAATTTCATATGGTTACAGCCGAAAACATCGCGGCAAAAACATCGCTGACGAAAACGTCGCGGAGAAAACAACGCAAGGCTAAAACGTCGTGCTACAAAACATCGGGGGAGAAAACATCACAAAGAGAAAACATCGCAGTTCTAAAACATCGTGGTACAAAACATCGTCGTCGAAAATAAAGCGGTTCAAAAACTTTTTAAAAATATCGTCGTCGAAAATACCGTGGTAAAAAATAAAGTGTCTACAAATCATCGCATGACGATGACATGGCAGACATGCTTTCTTCAGGTTTTAATAACTGTAAATGGATATTCCCATTATGATTTGTGAGCGCAAGATGTGAAGAAGGATAATTTTTACTTTCACACTTTTTTATAAACATAAATTTTTGCTGAGAAAATGCAACTTATAGCACTTAATAGAATTTTAAACCGACATAGTTAACTAAAAAATACCATTAATAAATAATTTTTTATAAAGTTTTTACTGGTAATTTTTCATTAAAAGTATAATCTATAAGTTGCATTTAATTTTCTATGCTTAAGTTTCCTTCTTACTTTTTTAAGCAAAAATTTATTAATTAATAAAAAAATGTGAAAGTAAAAATTATCCTTCTTCACATCTTGCGCTCACAAATCATTATGGGAATATTCATTTACAATTATTAAAACCTGAAAAAAGCATGTCTGCGATGTTATAGTCATGCGATGATTTGTAAACACTTTATTTTTTGCCACGATATTTTCGATGACGGTGTTTTTAAACTGCGAAGTTTTTGAACCGCTTTATTTTCGATGACGTTGTTTTGTACCACGATGTTTTCTCCCACGATGTTTTGTAGCACGACGTTTTTGCCTTGCGTTGTTTTCTCCGCGATGTTATCGGCGGACACCTTTCATATACTGGGATGCTTTTTTTTTACCCAAAACCTGCAAGTCCAAATTTCGCTCCCGACATCGCAAGTTCCCCTTATATTGAATTCGCCAAGCATTTGATTCAACTTCATACTTTATCCAAAGATATTTTTGCCCCTTTATGAATGCACCTTTTTGTTGTTGTTGCTTGAACAGAGATTGAGCAACTGCTTTTTATTGAAACAAATTTTCCTGGTCTATGCGTATAAAAATTCGAATCTCGCGAACGGGCTGGTTGCATGGGTGTTTTCGTGGTTTTCCTTATGTGTAACGTATATACGAGCCAGTTTCCCTTAGAAAGTTCTCCACGAAGGCATCCCTTTCCTTAGGCAGATAGACCGCGAGGCTTTGTCATAATCACACACAAACGCGTATAAAAATTAAAGGCCAACTTATCTTTATGTTATCTAGGCACAAAGATAATGGCAGCATTTCTAGATCTCATCTGATACTTTTTTCTTCATTTGTCCCACCATTCATGACGATCATTTTTATATACCGTGTCTATACAAATGCTTGTGCTGCTTTTATATTCGCAACCGTGAACTATATGCATATAAATTAAGTTAAGTTATTAAGTATTTTCTAAATTTCAATAATTTTTTTAATATACAAAGTCCATTTTTATATGATCCCCCAGTTTTGTATATTTAGCAAAAGTTTACGCTATGTATCCATATATATAAATTAAATTGTCGCGTCCTGAAAACAAATTGGGCACCACAAAAAATCGTCACGGCTCTGACCTCATGGAGCTCTAAAATTGACTTTACTAAATTGACTGACCCGTGGTTAAACGTATTTGCTCACTCCTGGTTTAGACTATTTTACATTCCAGGATCAGATGTAGGAAAAAATACAGGAGCTTTTACAGTTGGAATTTTTTCTGATTTGAGTTTTAATTTTATTCAAAGTTATTAGTAGTTTCATGGTTTGACAACTATAGAAATTATTCTTATTTAAGAAGGGTACCAAAATAATTGCTTTTATTTTATACATCTAATAGTTTTTATTTTTTTACATTTTTATGACAAATTGTACTTTGGGGTGTTAGACTGTAAAATTATCCAAATTGCACATTTTTAGCATAGTTTTATAAGAATATTTATGAATTATATCACTAGCTTGGTCATTTGATTTTTGAATTCTTTTTTACAATAATATGTAAGATTTAGTGTAGAAGGGGTTCGAATAACATTTCAAATATTTAAGTATTTGAAATTTTTTCTTACAGCTTTTGAATTTAGTGTCAGCAAACGACAAAAACATTTCTGTGATCATGGCAGCTGTGTGCAACTCTTCTCTGAGTCGATATTTATATAACCCTACGTTAGACCAAGCAGGATTTAGGAAACTTAGTGGAGCACTTTGTCGTCATAGTTACTATGATATCTTTGAAGAAATCTTCCAAGATCCAGATATACAAGAAATAGTATTCGAGGTAAGTAAAATAAATAAATAAAACGTCGTTTCCTTTAAATCACAAGTGCATTTTGTTGTACGTTTTTATTTAATTTTACGTTATGATATCATGAGTCAAACATCATATATGTTTGACTCATGATGTTCATCAGAATTTTGGCATTGATTATTGACCTAATTTGTGATAAGCTAATGAGTTCAAATTTTATACACACACTATTTGTCGGAGGCAATGCAATGGGGCAAAGCGATTTTCTTCAAAATTCTATTCGAATTTTTGAAAATTGCTCAATTTTATAGGTTATTTGATATAACAGAGTTGTTGGGAGTAAAAGAGAGATTTTTTATTGTTCAAAAATGATTTGTCCATTCAATAATTTAACTGACAGTGTGCCTTTGAGACTAATAAGATGAAATAAAATAAGGTTAAAAATATTTTTATAAAATCAGCTTTGTTTTAAAACTCGCAAAATAATTAATGAACTAGAAGGAGAAAATAATTTATCTCACAGTTTCATGGAAACGAGAGATTCAATAATTCTTTTAATAAAATTATTCTATAATTTTATATTACGTATCATAAAAGCAGCGTGCACTTCTAAATAAAGAAATCGATTAATTGAATTGCATTATGAAATGTATAAGCCATTATCTTTGAAAATTACTCAAGTGCTCCTCACGATTTTAATATTCGCGATATAAAATTATAAAGGAATTTTATAAAGAGAATTGTTTAAACTCTTGCTATTATGAAATTGTGGCTAAATTATTTTTTCTTTAGTTCATTAATTACTTTGTAAGTTTCAGATCGAAGTTCATTTTATGAAAAAACTTTTTTACCTCATTTTACTTCTGAAAATGTTGCTGTGACTAAACTCGCTTATCTGACATCAGAGCAAGCCCGAAATTCATGGTGGCAAGGAGTCAAGATAGCGCCTGTCGTTGGCTAGAGGCTTGAACACCATACAAGTGACAGTACGACCAAAAAATATCTTTGGTACGACTTAGCTTAGTTCCGCCCCAAACTTGGAAGGAGAGCGCCCAGGGTAAACGGGTCCGAGGCTCTCCCACCGCGATGGAGTCGCACAAAAGAATTAACTAGCCCTTCTGTTTAACCTTGCTACCACCCTTTTACAGTACAATAATCAGAGTCATTAACCACTATTCCTGTTGGTCGACATTTCTTACAGTGTACATTTTATAAGCCCCAAAGGAAACTCTTTTAGAACTATTCGTTGTTTAAAGTTTGTGATAAATTACTTTCGTGATAAAACTGACTCGAGATAAAACTCTTGCATGCTAATGTTATTGTTGCGAATGTTGCGAATCCAAGAAACCTCTTCAGATAACATTCATTTTACCAGATTTCTTTAACGTTTTAGTTTACACTGGTTGGAAAAAAATTAGCATTTAAAAATAAAACCATTTACGTAATCAATGATTAATGCGTTGGTGGTCATCGAAATCATTCCGTTTAATTAATTTAATAATTTATGTCAATTCACTGCGCTGTGTCACACCAGGAGATGTCTATTCTAGGTCATCTTCATCTATTGATTATGACAATCTGTTTAGGTTTAATTTTATTTTAATGTCCTGTCTAATTGCTATAAATTTAAACACATTTAATTTACAGTCTGTCCAACTGATCGCTTTTATAAAAATTTTGCGACATTATTTTGATTAATATCATATGTTTTTATAGTCATCTATTACATATTTGCTTAATTATGAGTAACTTTTATTTTTTGTGTAAGGTTTTAACTTTAATTACATTTATTTTTTAGGCTGGAAACACAGATGAAGTAACATGGGAAGATATGCAAGAGAATCTTCTCGATATCATAGATCTGCTGGAAGAGTTAGCAGCGGTACGGAAAGCCGACCTGTCAGCTTTGCCGCCACCAACAAAATGGCAAAAAATGGGAATAAATATCTACACGAAAGCGCAGGATCCCAGCGTTTTGCTCTACATCGTCACAAATAGAATGTTTCATGTATTTTGCAATTATACATCCAGCAAACTACCATCCCATTTGCAAAGTTTCATCTCACGAGATAAAGAAATTGCTCTTTACCATGAGTTATGCTCTATGAGCAAAGAGTCATTTGCCAAGAAAGTCGTGAGGAATTTGAACCAGACCATCAAGGCTTCCTCACCTAACTCTATGCAAAGTTTCGACGTGATAAATATTGCCCAACGATTCTGGGAGACACTGGCTGATATTTCCGAGATCAAGCGTATAGCGAAATTTGTTCTTGATTTAGATTTGTTGGACCACTATGAGACAGCTGGACTGTCAGCAGCATTTGAGGCGATGGAAAAACGCAAGATTTTCCAAAACAAGTCAGTTTTATATTAAGTATTTAAACTTTTGATTATTTAAATTCTGTGCTTATCGGATGGTCTCGAAACCTGTAGTACTTGAATACTCAGGCGAGACAATAAAAATAAAGAACGCAACTAAATAACAGTAAATAAAATTTATATGAGTTATGTCTTGCAAGGTGTCTGTCTTGCGGTTGTCTGTAAAATTGTTATATCTCACGTATATGTTACCGTGAAAGACCGAAATTGGAGAAAGTCGAGTTTCACCGGAGAATGTCAACATTCACAAAATACGTCGGCGAAAGATCGAATATTGCATTACATTCTTGTACATTCGGACCCTCACCGATGCATGTCGACAATCACAGATATGCTCTGGAGTAGGTCGAAAAGAGAGGAGTATATGTACACGCTGTCATTACAAAAGGAAGTGTTCCACAAATAAATGCAGTTGTAAAAGCAAGGGCCTCTTGTGCAATTCAAAGTGTCATAATAGTTTAAGTTGTTGCAATAAATAAGATTTGAATCACATAATTTAGTAAGTTTTTAACTTCTATTATTTTCCTTTCTCATTTTGAATGTACTGTATGTTTTAAGTTCTTATATTCTTATTTTAAATCTCAAGTGCGTTTTTTCGCGACTGAATTATGGATAAGAAAATACAATATTCTTATGTGTTCAACATTCACCATCAGTACATGGTGAATGTCGACAGTTGCCGGTGTAAGTCAGAAATAAGAGTATTTAGAAAATATTTTGGACATACACCAAGCGACTATGTGAATGTTGACATTCCCCGGTGAAAGTCGACATTCTCCAGATTTCGGGGTTTCACACTAGCATATATTATAATCTATTTTAATAATAAACTCAACCGATCTGAAATTACCATTATTTTTGACTGAAACAAATGTCAGACTTATATACCAACTGCTTAATAAACAAAAATAATGAAAGAGGAGGTATGCATTATTGGGGTCAATCTTCTGATATTAGATATGTCTTTAATAGAGTCTGCCCAAAGTTTCACCGTTACATTGTGGTATCACATATTTATCATTCATATTATCTGATAGTGTTCTATTGTAGGGGGCGGAGGATGTAAGATCTGTTACTTAACATTCATGCAGCTTTGAAAACAGCTAGTTCTGACAGTGTTGTTATTCGACAAACAATAAGATTATTAATTTAGTTTCCAAATTTATTCAATCTGTTTTTGATTAAAAACACTAAAATAAACACCCTTGTAACAAACTTAAATTATTATTTCATTTTAAAAGTATAGTGAATTAATATAAATAAAAATGCATCGAACTGAAAATTAAGAAACGTCGCGCTTTTGTTGTAATGTATTTCAAACGCCATACATTACGTACCTTGGTATGTAAGACATTTCAAACGCCATACATTACGTACCTTGGTATGGATTCACTTACGTTTCAATAATACTTACGATCGACGTAAGAACATGTAATATATGATAAATGCCATTGAGTTTATTATAACGTCTGGAGCACTGGTACAAAAAATATGCTTATAACACTACATATTTCATACCTAAATACAAAATCGTTTTAGTCCCACCCCCATGTTGCATTACATTTCATCAAAGATTATACAATTAAAACTGTAAAAAGTTTTATTTTTGAAAAGCACAGTACAAAGCAATTTTTGAAACACTAGGCGATGAATGTTTTTTATTCCATAAATGCATAATTCATCTTTTGCAACTAAAAGGAATCATTGAAATTTGCTATTATTTGATACATACATAGTTTTGTTTTTGTACAGAAAAATTGAATGAGATTTTTAGAACTTATTCAGCGCCATCTGTTGCAGGATAATGAATGCTACTCTTCGAGCTTATAACATGGTGGACAAAATGACAGACGGTATGCTGTCTTCGGTTATTCTCGACAGTGCCGTTCCGGAAGTCATGCAACAGATATCATCGTATGTCATTGAATCAGGTAGGTTTTTTTTTATTTATATTTTATTTAATTAAAATATTTGATACTAGAATTAGTTCTATTACTACAAAATGAATGTTGTATGTTAAAAAGCCAAATTTTTACTTATTTACTTCGGTTTACTTATTTTCTTCTTCGTCTCCCACTCCTCTAACTTTAGGCTATAGCAACTAACTTGCTTCAGACTCCCAAACTCTAATTTTAGCCCTCGAACTCCAAGGTCTATAACAGAATTTTTCAGTTTTTGTTATTCTCAGTTTCATTCGGTTTCAATAACTGAAGAATGGGAAGCTGCAAGATATCTTCATACTTTTCTGTCACATTTCTATTTTTTCGTTTTCTGTATATTACAATAATATGTCCTATACAGAACGGAGTTTTTCTTATAAAATTTTGCATGAGAAAAGTATTTCTTTAAAAAGATAGCCAGTCTTTATTTGTTTGGCTCAAATTAAACAATAATCAAACTACACATTTTTGGGCAGTTATGCTAAAACTACACTTGTAAGGTGTTTTCATCCTCTTTACCGCTTCCCTTCGTGGATAGCACGCCCGACTAGCAGCCCGAATGCCCGGAGTTCGATCTCGATGGGGCAAGGTACAATTTTCACATCTCCTGCTCTAAAAGAAAATGTCTAATGTCCTCTACTGTGGCGCCCGAACTAAAAGATGGTGGAGGAAAGTTCGTTTTTGGCTGGAGGACAAAGCAATGTATTTTCTTCCTCCTTGCCGTGCACCTTCGTGATGTAACTGGAAAACACGTCAAACTAGCAATCGAAATGTCCGGAGTTCAAATCCCGACTACGGCACTGCACATTTTTTAAGTCTCCTGAAGAGAAGTAAATGCTTAATCGTATTTACACGCTAGGCTACTACAGCATTTATAGCCCACGCAGTTTATTTCCATTTCAGGAGATGTAAGGTCCTTATCTTCCACGTGATTTCAAAAATAGCCAATTTCTACAGAGTTGTCAGTTGGCATTTTATAGGATTATACTTCAGGGGCTCCCAAAGTGTGCACCGCGGCGCCCTGGGGCGCCATGAAGAGTAAAAAGGCGCGCCGCGAGGCACTCGTGTTTACCTTTTCACGGAATCTAAATTCAAATAAGAAAGGAAGGAGTGGCCAGTTCGGCACTAAGAGTGAAGCACTGCTTCGAAGCTTCGGTCCCATACTCAGAAGCTGTCTTGACAGCGCTTCGATAGTATTTCGACACACGGCAGTTCCATACAAATCGAAAAACGGGACATTTCCGCATAAAGAAAACATTTCTTGTGTGATGGATAATAGCAATTTGTATAGTTTAGTGACATTTGCGCAAAAATCACATCTTGGTTATTTTTCGATAACTAACAACAGCGATTTTGATTATGAATTTGTTTCATAAAATTTTAAGCTGTTGAACTACAAAGATATACATTTTAGCGAAAATGCTAGGCTTAAAGAATGAAAAGTACCTTAGGATGCCTTTAAAATTGTATACTTCTTTCGATATTCTTGATAGAGTATTCGCTACTTTTATTTTATGTTCCAAACGCCAACATTTTTTAAATAAAATTTTTTTTGTCATCCACATATTAATGTGACATGTACTTTTTAAAAATTTTTAGAGGAGAGGCTTTATAGTTGCTCATTTTAAATTTATCGTTTTATTTTTATATGACATAAAAATAATCACTTTGGCTTTACACGTTTTACTTATTTGGGTTAATTAAAAAATAAAATTACCACCAAATGCTGCAATCTTCGTCAAACTGAATACATATGCCAATAAGTTAACTTTTCCTTGATCTGTAACCACATATTTGTGTAAAATTATGTACAATTTTACACAAATGTGTGGAATAGAAGATGGTTACATTTGCGAATTCGCCGGGACTACCATGTACGGTCAAGATGATGTGACCATGTGAACGTGTCACATCATCAATACAGCTTAGTAAGAATTTGAAAATAGGGTAATCGACGGAAGTGAAAATATTTGTCTATCCTGCCAAAGGAGGTCCGATCATGAATGGTCTTCTTACTGATTGTTCGTACTGGAAAGCAATCTGTTAAAAGGTATTGTAAAGCAAATTCTATGATTTGCATACTTAAGAAAGTAATAAGGAGGAGTTTTAGAATATGTATTGTTGAAATTAAGGGTAAAAAATCTCATAAGTATAATTAAAAGAATTATTTCCCTTACATTTTATAACAACTCAGTTACAGGATTTAAATAATATTTAAGAAAAATTCTTTTTTTATTCCATTTCAAAAATATTCAGAGAAAGTTAAGTACTATTTAACGTATCTCGCTATTAAAATAAAATGTGCTCTAATTTGAAATGGATCGAATAGAGCATTAATTGTAAATTGACTTCGATTTTTCGATTTAAAAGATTCCTCAGAAGCTAAAAAATCATGTCGCATTGGAGAAAGTATTTTAGGAAGAAGCTTTATATATAGAAAAGAAATAATGCATAATTTTAATATTGATAATACAATAAACTTTGATATTAATTTTTGTAATCCTTAACCGAATAAAATCGAATTACCTTAAATTTTTTTCTAATCTAATTAAGTAAAACTTGTGAAAATATTTCATTCAAATTAAACCGTTCTGAGAAAACTGTTCTGTGAAAAATTAATTAATTTTTAATTCCGTTCAGAATGAAATGTTATTTAAAAATGTTTTCTTTTCATATGCTTAGGACTCTGAAATATTGTAGAAAAGGAAAATATATGCATTTATACGTATATTTATAGCGCAATTACAAAATATTTACATCTGATCGTGTCAAAACCCATTGAACTTAATGGTAGATGACTCAATGTTTTGGTCACCACGAAGGGATCTGTTCAAAGCAGTGTATGGGGGAAACCAAGGTTTCTAAAATACCTAAGAAGTATTTTACTGATCTTGGGGGAAACCGGTTAGGAACACGGTGGTGTGGCTGCAGCGGACGTGGTCAGAGCGGACACTACGAAACTCATCGTGGTTAGAGCGGACACATTCTTTCCCCAAGAACAGACAAAGGGTGCAGATAAATAAGTAAATAAATATTTTTAAAAATCCATAATATAATTTAAACAGTAATTTAAGTTGCAAATCTCTTTCAAGTGGGATAACTTTTTTTTTACCGAAGATTTCTGTTTTCGCATTCGATTATCGAATTACGAGGCACTGGAATTACTCTTGGCACTGTAGTATGTCGGTGTTTTAGTGACGAAATCATAACCTTTCTGATATAATTCTGAAAGTTCTTGAAATATCTTGGGAACGGGAAATGTATTTATCCTTGTAATTCGATAATCGAGTGCAAAAACAGAAAACTTCGGTGAAAAAAACGTTATCCCACGTGAAAGAGATTTGCCACTTAAAATACTGTTTTAAACTATATTTGTAATTTTTAAAAGTATTTATTTACTTATTTATCTGCACCCTTTATCTGTTCCATGATGGGAAAAAAATGTGTCCGCTCTGACCACGATGAGTTTCGCAGTGTCCGCTGTAACCACTGTCCGCTCTGGCCACGTCCGCTCTGGCCACGTAACCAGGAACACTCCATCTTACTTCCTACCTCCATGGCTTGCGCTGCATAAATCGCTCATTGCGTAGAAAAATAACACCCTACCGACAACTCCACCCGCATATGGAATTCAGGTTGGGTTGGGCAGCGCAGAATTCTTTGCTAGCAGATGCCAGAGATTTCCAGATGCCAGCATTCAACCGTCGCGCTGCATGAACAGGAGTTGTCGCGAGCGCTCATCGGTGGTAGTATCGTAGGCCGCATTGCCAAGTTAGTTTATTGTAAGCCCAAGCAGTTAAATTTTCAAGTTAAATAGACGTAGTAATAAAGTGTTCTTGGTAGTGATACAGAGGGTTGTGATTTACGAACCCAGGACAGATAAACGTTATAATATCTATTTAAACATATCTAAGTGAGCAGTTAATTGCTTTGTTTTAGTTGTGCTGTTTTGTATTTTCGTCAAAAGTTAGTCACAAAATGGAAGGATTTTGATTAAATAAGCAAGTCGATAGTTCAAGTCAGAGTGATCAAGCTTCGACAAGTGGCTGGAGAGCAAAAAACGGAAATATCGCAAATACGATGATAGCTTTGTTTCAGAAGTATGTAATGAAGAAAGACCTCAATGTGTGCTCTGTTTGAAAATTCTATCGTCCGAGAGTATATTCCCAAGTAAGAAGTGACATCTGGAGATCATTCACCCTACCATGGTTGAAAAATCGCACGAATGTTTTAGTAGGAAGTTGCAAAAAAAAAAAAAAAAAAAAAAAAAAAAAGTGTTCACTCAAGAAGCTTCAATACTTAGCAACGTACTGCTAGTATCTTTCAAAGTGGCATACAGGGTAGCGAAGAAGTACAAGAAACTTCACACCATCTCAGAAAAACTTATTTTATCGGCTGCTGTCGATATGGTTAATATTATGGTTGAATAATCGACGGAAAAACTAATTACAAAAGTATCTTTATCAAACAACATTATTAGTCGAAGAATCCATCATATAGCCGAGGATCTCAATGACCAATTAGTAAAGAAAATGAAAGACAAGGAATTTGGTCTACAACTTGAGAGTAATAAAGATGCATGCCTTATTTGTTACGTACGCTTTCTAGATGATAATATAATTGTTGAAGACCTTCTTTTCTGTAAAAGCATCAGTGAAGTCGCAAAGGCTAAAAACGTATTCAAAATTCTTGACAAGTTTATAAATGGAAAATAATTTAGATTGGGAAAATTGTATGAGTGTGTGTACTGACGGTGCTAGATCAATGTCTGGCAGATATTGCGGATTGAAAGACCTTATTCGCAGTATGGCATCGCATACTATGTGGACTCATTGCATATCCATAGGGAAATAGGAAAATACTTGCATCGAAGCTGTGAATTGAATTTGGTATTGAAACGTATCATAGACGAAGTTAACTACGTAAAAACTAGGCCGCTGAAAGCCAAACTATTCAAAAACCTTTGTATGGACATGGGAGCTGAACACATAGCCCTGCTATATTACTGCAGTTTACGATGGCTTTTACATGGAAATGTCTTATCCTGTGCATTCAAGCTACATCAAGAAATTCACCTTTTTCTGCCACAGGAAGGACATGCAAACTCCAGATACTTTGCCGAACCAAAGTTTTTACTAAATCTGGCATATCTGTGCGATATATTTGACAAACTGAATGCCTTGAATTTTTCTCTACAGGTCAATAATATGCATATCTTGAAACTAGGGGAGAAGACTGTCGCGTTTAGAAGAAAACTGCAGTAGTGGATAAGAAAAATTAATGAAGATGGCGGTGCAGATTGTTTTGCCGAATTGCATAAATACGTGTGCTCTAATGAGCTCATTATCTCTCAAAAATTGTTGTCTCTTTTCACGGAACATCTTTCGAAGCTCACTGAATGGTTGTCAAAATACTTTGCGGAAGAAAATATTGAGAAATACATCCAAAATCCTTACCATGCTCAGCTCCATCAAAATTCATTTCAGAAGAAAACAAGAGTCTCATTGGACTCTCTTGCGACAATCGCCTGAAAACAGTATTGCTTGTTTCAATTTGGCGGAGTTTTGGATAATCATCAAAAATGAATATCCAACTCTGAGTTCAAAAGCTTTAAGGATTCTTATTCCTTCTGCAACATCATATTTATGCTAAATCGTATTTTCATCTGTAGCTCTAATAAAGAGCAAATATCGTTCAAAGATCAACGTGGACAAGAAATGAGAGTGGCAGTGTCAAGTCTTATCCATTGCTTTAAACCTTTTGCGGAGATCAGCAAGCTCACACGTCCCGTTGATTTTTTCTATTTTTCTTTAATAATAATAATATAATATTCTTGTGTATCAGTTCAATATATACCTATATGAGCTTCAAATTGTGGTTGTTTTCATTTCTGTGCTTGGTTACTAATATCAATATACAGTCGTATTTAATGAGGTGTTGTGATTTGCTATGACACTGTGTAGTAAGCAGGTTGTAAGGCACAAACCTTGTACAACACTTCGTTAAACACGATTAGGGCGCCGTGACAAAATACTAAACCTCTAAGTGCGCCGTCAACTGAAAAAGGTCAGGAACCCCTGTTATACTCGATTATTTAATTTAGGTAAAGTGCGCAAGAGATATTTGAGTACGTTCTATCCCAATATTGACTGAGGAGCTCCTAGGAAGAGAAAGGATACATTACTCCTCTTCCTTTAACGCAACCCTTTTGAAAGACGTTTAGTGAAATAGTTATTTATCTTTCAAATTTTCACTGCGCAGTTACAAAATCGACAGAATTAAAAGCAATAAATGCATTTTTAATTACTTAATTTAATGCTTTTGATTGTATAATGGTTATCGGGCTTTGATTGCTAGCATGGAGACAAAAATATGGGTTTGACTCTCGTGTAAGGCTTGACTGAATATGTTTGCCCTTCCTTCCTCACTGCAGATATGCGACCCAACTGTCGTGGTACAATTCTGGGCAGGGCAATCTTTTTAATGATGGGATGTTAAATGATCAATGAGTTCGGCCGTTTTCGATGAATACCTGTGAAAACGTGTTTGGCCTGTGGGCTAAATGTAAATCTTAGTTTTATTTTGTATAACTCAAACACTCACAGTCTATGTCATTCAATATTTACTTGTCTAAAATCTAAAGGCAGAACTATTGTTTTGTGATCTTAAATATAAAAAAATAAAAAGTGTACAGTAAAACAAAACTATGCACACAAATAGAATTTTCTTAATTGCTTAATTGCATTATGCTGAAATGTAGTTACCTTCTCCCATTGATATGAGGAATAAAAAAATATCGGCTGATTTTGGATATAGAAAATCTGATTATTTTATGTACAGGTGGACACATCAATCTCCGAACTGTGTTTGAAAATGAGAAAGATTCGCGAAGACTTCTCAGTAGTCTTTTCCAAAATGATCCCGAAAGGAAGAAACTGGAGAGCTACATCGATATCTTAGTAAGTATGCTAAGTAATGTGACATTTTAACTTGAAATCTTAAAATAACTTTGCTAATTAGATTATATGCCTTATTAAATCCCAAACAGTATGTCCTTATCCTTGGGCGTAACCAAATTCTGCACTCATATATGCAGACCTCAGTGCAAATGATTACTCCCTTGTGATGCTATAGGTAAATTCCGTACCATTCGATTTGACATTGTTAAACCTTTAGTTTATTTCTGATCACTGTCATACTTAAGCAATGTCAAAATGAAAAGCTGTTATTAAAATTATTTTAATACATAAATGAAAATAAATAGACGGAACTATATATACAGTACGCGTTTAAAACATTCAAAGCAGAAGTTTTGAAATAGCCTGGAAATAAAATTTTTCAGGAAATAAATAATCTGGGAGCTTCTTAGAAAAGGTGTTTCTTAGAAATGGATCATTTTTCTTAAGAAAACTAATGGGAAAAGGTTTGTAAAAGAAACAAATCCCGAAGTCTGAAGAAGGATAACAATTACTCCAACAAACTGATAAGATATTTGCGTATGCGATTGCCTAGCTTGAGTCGCAACGTGCGAAATTTAGCTGTAGGATTTCAGAGTGGGAAGATCTTTGATACGAAATTTTACATCTACATTATTATAGTAGTATTATATGCCCTCCGTATCAGCTGTTGCCTTTCCAAATCTTAATTGCACAGAGTACTAGTAAAAGTGGGCTAACGTGCCCTTTTATTATTGATCCTAGACATGTGCTTTCAATCAGAATGTTTCTCTAAAATGATAGAGAAATTCATGAGAACAATTTCAGCATTGGCCTTAGAGCAAGAAGCCCAATTAGAAAACTATTCATTATGGTTGTATACTTTTATAAGGTATTTCTCCTTCCTTCCAGCATGTCTTCGTGGTGTAATAGTTAGCACATTCGGCGCATGTTCAAGAGGTCCAGGTTTGAGTCCCGGAGAAGGCATTTTGGATATTTACAGTTTCCAATATTTAAAAATACCCTAATAACTCTACACTTTGAATGTGAAATTCTCTGAATCCTTTTCATAAAAATTAGGAGGTAAATTTATATGGTATTTCTCCCGCCTTCTTAGCGAGCCTTCGTGGTGTAGTGGCCTGAACGCTCGGCGCATAATTGAGAGGTCCGCGCTTCGATTCCCGGCGAAGGTGTTGAATATTTTTCATCTCTCTTGCTTCTAAAAAATACCTAATGTCTTTACAAATTTTCCGATTTAGTGGCAGCATTCCTTAAATGCTCCCTAAACTTCAGTTAACTGCTATAATGAAGGTCGATTAATGAAGTTGTAAGGCTACTTTTATTACTTTAATTAACCAACTATTGTGATTTAGACCTTTACTATCACTTCTTTCCTTTTCCTCGCTAGAATACAAATCAGTTTGTGAGTATTTAAATCTAGGATTCTAGATTTTAATACAGAGCATGTTACTGCCTGTCGATGCTTCGTTACTAGGTTTTCCAAGTTCTGATAAAATTGAAGTTCTTCGGCTGTGCGTTATTTCTGATGACATTTTATTCTTACGCCGGTGAGAAGTTTTGAGACAACTTCGCATTAAATCAACAACATAGTCTTTGACTTTGGGGTTTAGTTTTAAATTTGAATTAGACTGTTACTCTAAGTTTCCTCACCACAAGTTGTGGTAAAGCACGAATCGTACGTTTGTGCTAATGTTTTAATTTAACGTAAAGTTTGTTTTAAATGTTAACGAATCGGTAACTCGCTCAGTGTCTATTAGAAGTTTGATGCTAGTTTATGCTACCAAAGAATACCAAACTCTACAAAGTTACTTATTATGGAAAGCTGAATTCAGTACTGATTATTAATTTTGTAATCAATCCGGAAAATTATTAATTTATCACACTTTCTTAAAATTTAGAATTACTTACTGAATTGGTGAATTCAGTAATCAGAATATTTAGCTGTAAACGAAAGGGTAGTGGTAATTCATTTAAGAAAATTTAATTCTTTATCTAAAAATTCGGTTGAAAAAAGTATTACTTTTCTTTTTCCGTAAAGTCAAATTTTTATGTTAAGAACTGCTGTAAAATCTGTATTTGGGAGGAAGTGAACAGACAGTACAAAAAAACTTTTCATTATCTGTCATTTTGTCATTCCGTCCGTAATTTTTATTAACTTTTATTATCGCCCTATATCTCAGTCACTTATTCGTATAAATTAGTTCATATGAATTTAAGGGAGAGGCAATTTAAGAGAGAGACACTGCTTATTATTACATAAATTTGAATTGTTTTAGCCAAACTAAAATTAGTAACACGAAAGATAATCTTCTTCATTTTCAGGTGAAATATACTTATTTTCAGAGTGCACACTCATTGGAATTACAAAAGTTCCGAATTCATTTCTGTTCTTTCAGAAATGATAAATGTTTAATTAATTACAGTGGTTGCATTATTATTATTATTATTATTATTATTCACATTTTTTCTTATGTCTGATAAAATTACTCGCTAGAGATGTAGTAATGAATTTTAATCAAAAAATATACAGGAACTATCATTTGGTATCATTTCTCTATCATTTATATATATCTATTTATCATTTCTCTATCATTTGGTGTAGAAGTTTTGCAATCGATGAAAATTTGAGATTTTTACTAAATTCAAAGAAGCAACAGTTTGAATTTTATTTTGTTGTAAAAATCATATTATTTTTGTATTATATATTTGATGTAAAAATCATATTTCATGTGTTAAACTGATAGACCTTTATTATTTAAGAGGAGAAAATAAATATTTTTTAGAAGGGTTTTTTGAATATTTAGAGTTTTTAAACTTTTAGATTCTCTTTCAGTTCTTAACAGCAAATTCTTTTTGAGCCAACTCTTAACTTTAATCTAAAATTTTCAGAGCGCAAGTTTTTTTTTTTTTATTTCAGTGCATAACCAATAAATATTATATTCATACCTTAATATAGCTTTATGTTGAATAAGTGTAATTTTGTAGGATTATGATTTCAAACATTTTGACATTCTTTATGCTTCCAAAAATCTGTATATGTATACGAATACGTCAATTAATTTGTTGTGGTATCTGAGAAGCCAATAACTTTTATGTTTCTGATATTTTAGGCAGAATACTTTTCAAGGCTTGAAAATTTGAGTATCCTTAAGACACTGTGTAACGAGCACCAGAAGAACAAAAGATTATATTATACTGCGGACAACATCATCAAAAAACTGTGTTTACAGCCGCCATTAGAATGGTCTCCAATTAGCCTTACTGAAAATAAGCATAACCTAACAGCATTGTGGTTACAGGTAAGTGGATTAATCAATTTATTGCAAAACACTTTTGACGCTAACATGTCATTAGCCAAGTTTTTGTAATTTTAGTAATTGTCTTTAGCGAAGATTTTGCAAAATTTTGTAGTGTCACGCGCGATGTTAGGTAGGCAGTCATTTTTCCTTCATGCTACTTGACAATTGTTCTTTTCGTGAGAAACCTATAGTTTTTCATTTACCTTCCATGCGACCTAAAGAACTTTATTGTTCTGTAAAGCTTATGGGATTTATTTCACCTTCCAAATTTAATTACAAACTGAGCGATTTAAAAGCAATAAATGTCCTTCTTAATAGTTTAAATGTTTAACTTATTTTTAGAGGTAGCCAAATGTTGATACCTGGCTACATGCTGCCAAATTAATAACATTTATTATAAAGCTTTAGAGCAATTCTTAACCACTACATTTGACGATAATCATCAGCAAATTGTTTCAGCAGTACATTACATGATTTTTTTCTCAGTCATAACATACATAGCAAAACAATAATTATTATTTTAAAACATGCTGAATTACAGCAGATGCTCAAATGTTGTATATCATTAGCAAACTTCCATTTTCCGTATTTGGTAATGAATGACAGACATATTTCTGTTTTGTCAGAAATAGCAGTTTTCCAATCATGCAAACCATCTCCTTTTAAAAATTTCATATTTTATAGAGTGTATTCTCCTTATTTATATGTAAACA